TGATCCAGAACTAATCGTCCAACATCAGTAGCTGACCTCACTTATGCGCTCGTGGCAAAACACAATCACATCTTCACAGCAATGTTCTCACATCTAGCGGACAGTTTACCAGAAGAGTCGAGAATGTCACCGCGTAAAAAGAGGCCAAACTCTTTATTTATACCCTTCATTTCAATAAAGACATTGAATGAGCAGGTGTCTACAAACTTTTAGATGTGTACATACAAAAAAAGATATTAGGATAATCACCGTTAACTTGGAGAATCAGGGTTGAAAAGTCCTGCACTGCTGGTGGGGGGACCACCCTGATCATTGAACAGTTATAAACACCAGCATCACCGTTTGTAACATCTGTTATAATCAGTCCGATTGGGTCTGCATTTACTTTGAAACGAGGTTTGCAGTCATGGTCACTAGTCTTACTTTTGCTCATACGATATTTACAGAAAACTGACTCTCCATCCTTTTGCCAATCAACAGTAACAATGTCTCTGTAGTGAAACGATGACGGGCACGGCAGAAGGACAGTCTCTCCTCTGGACGCTGTAATAACTTTCTCTGCACCTGTAGAGTGAAACAATACTTCAGTTTAGGTCAGAAGAGTAGTCGGTTATCCAGACTTTGATAAAAGACTGGCTTTTTCATTTTAAAGGTTTTTATTAACCTTCAGACAATAAGAAAAAGTTAACACTTTAAAATTATTATTTTATTGCTTTATATATAATCTACTAAAAAAAAACAACTATTCCTTCTGGTGATTAAATATTTAATATTTCTTATACACATTACTGTGCAAAAAAAAAGTCTCAGGTAAATAAACAAACTACTTAAAATCATTTATGTGTGCAATGCATGTGTTTACACTAATAAAAACACTAACATTACAAACAATTCAACAAACATTAATGCAGTAAAAAGTAATAAAAAATTTTTTCAAAGAACTGTTTAAGATGTTTTCAGCTGGTCAGAACACAGGTTTAATCCCGACTTCTCCTCGATGCCCCAGCCATCACACGGATTTGTTACAATTCATCAGTAGCACATGATTTAACTTAATGAAGTATTATCTGAGCTAAACCAGCTACTGGATGATAACGATAAACACCACTTCCACAAAGACGAGTTTGGAAATATGTAAACATACTATTACACATATTACATAAAACCAATACTTTTTGTATTGATGATACTCATAGTTATCCTAACATTACATTTTTTACAGCTTTTTAAATATCATTTTCCCAGCTGCCCAAGACTTTTGCACAGTACTGTAAATATTCATCCAAACAGTGGAAACAACTTTGACAGTTATTCTTGACTTACCAACGTCTGAGAAACTTACCCGCGAGCACATTCAGAGATATTAGAGCAGAGAGGATGGCGTAATGAATCTGTGGTGAAGAGCCCATTTTTATCAGTACCTGCATCTTCGCTGTTCCTACTCGCAAGATGATTGATGTAGTCACCCACTTTTGCAAGCTTTTCTAGGTGTCATGTGACCCGTCACTGCTGTCTCTGCACCCCACAGATGCCCTCTATTTTCACTGTTATCTTCTGGACTAAGCCTTGTTTTGTCTTCTCGGTTGTGAGAAACGTTGACTCTGGGTCATTCTATGGAAATGTCCATTTTTGTGTCCCTAGCTTTTACAGATATATCATACTTCAAAAACATGTTAGGGTTACAATTTATTTATATTTTAAAATAAAACTAAGTTATTTTAACAGTTACACCTTCTTGAGCCTCAATTTAGCAATACTGGTTTTTAAATCAATTATACAGAATTCCAAGCACCACAGAAGAGCTCGTCCTCAGTCATGTGTAAAGGCTGAGGCCATATTTTGAGGTAAAAAAACATGTTTTGCTGCAATTCTAACTGCATAATCTATACATGACTATAAAATATATGATTTAAATGACAAAGAAAACAAATGTCGAATATATATTGTAAAATATATAATGAAAGTTCCCCAGAAGTCGTGTCACTGATGTTACTATATAACTAAAAATCTCTTATTTTGAAATAAAAACCACACTGATGACATCACTTGACTTCCTTTTACCCTTTTTCCGAGGATCTATGAAGAAATGCACATGGTGAGTCCACTGTGTCTTTTCAGTTATCAGAAATGTTCTCATTTAGCTCATGATTTCATATAAAGCTTTTAACTGAAGTCACTGGTGTGACCGACTTTACTCTTAGGTAATTGTGAAACAATAGAATGTAAATGGATTAAATTACAAATTTTAGTGGATATTCCATGACTGACAACATGTGGTTTGATGCTCTGTAGCAGCCATTTTGTAAAACGCATTTTTCATTAAAATTGTCTCTGGTGTTACCTTTCTTATGTGTAACACCAAAGATGATCAGTAACGTTTCTGTATGACCCCTATAAATTTAGCCAACGTGACTTAAAACATCTCAGAAGTTAACATAATCAGCAGCCACAGCAATGGAGGACAAAAGTTGCGGTGTGGTCACCGCGGTCTTGAACAATGATGACATTTCTTAGCACTGCTACTCTCTCTACTTTGGCTTTATATAGCTCGAGTGTAAACTGACTAAAATAAATATAGATTTAAAAAAACTATAACATCAGACAAAATAAGAGAGCAGACAGGACAGGCGGGTGTATGTATATGTTACTTTAATACGTGTTAAAGGAATAATATTTGCGTCAGCAGACAGTGTTATGACGTAGGACTCATTGAGAAGGGCAATGGCGAAGGGACCCCTTTCTACGCAGGGTTTCAGTAAGGCAAGGCTGCATCAACAACTGGGCTGTAACAATCAAGTTCCAAGCATGGCATCATACAGTACGAGTGACACTAATCAGGTCAAGCACACATTGTACAAACTCTTAAGGGGAGACAGAGGAGTAACCCTTCAACGAGACTGCTTCGAAAAAGCCAACGGACGTACATTCTCAGACGCAAGGTGTCGCCGTTTCAAATGGGTGCATAATCCAGGTGCTTAAGACTGAGACACAGTTGGAAAGATAGAAAGCAAAAACAACAACAACGACAACAAAAAAGCTTGTAAGAGGGTTTGGCAACTTTGTGATTGCTGCAGTTGATTTCCCTGGTTTCACTATTTCTTCAACAAAGGTGATTGACTGGACGTCTGATTATGGGGATGGGATCATGTTTCCACTGTTCTAAGCGTTTGACCAGAGAGGCGACGTGGTGATGAGGCTATGAGGCTCTCTACGGAGCTCGGGATCTGGTCTGATCTCCTAATGATGACTGGAAATTATTATAAACTATTTCGCTGTTGGAAGCAGCCCTAAAACTCCTCCATACAAAGCCATCCCGTACAGAAAGACTGGAATCGGAATTAGAAAAATACAGGTACAAAATCCATTACATTCAAGAGACAATTCTAGCACAAAAGGGTATTATACCGTAAGCTTCATAGCTAATATAGGAACTTGAGATTCATAGAGGCATCTTCTACAGTATATAGAAAAAAGGGGGGAATGACATTTAAATGGAGATGGGAATGGGACCAAACCTCATCTACGCGTCATGCAAAGGATATGCGCATCATCATTCAAGGCATTATTGTATAATGACAATTTTTCAATGGGATAACTTCCCTCAAGACAGAGGAGGTCTAATAAGAGCAAATTTCATGAGGGATGCAGGTGTTTGGATTCATTCAGAATGTGGCGTTTTGGTTTGGGTTTAAGGTGCAAATATCGTTTCTCTAAAATAGGCATTTTAAAAACCGCTCTGTACACCATGCCAAAACTGCAGGTAGAGGCTGAGGAAATCCATCAGAAATATAGAATTAGTTGTGCTAATATAATGCATTTATTACCTGAAAACCTGAAGACACGCTGACTAGACTCAGCTCACCCGGTCTGTCTGGCTTTCCGCACCATCGAATTTCTTTAAAAGAGACAGCGTTCCCTTTTCTTTGGCAAATGTTTGGAAAAAAAAAAAACCCATGTACAGTACAGTTCATCACGTACGCTTTCTTCCTATCGCTCGCATCTGCCGGGAAGAACTTATTTGTCGCATCGCTGGGTGCGCACGGAACACTTGGGAAGACGTTTTTGCAGAGAAAAACTTGATTGACAAACATCTGGAAATCGTTTGGACCTGCCCCAAGCATCGAGCAGCACCTCCTTGTGGAAATACTGGTCAGCGGGAGAATTTCTCTTCGCTTTAGCGAACAATTTCAGTAGAACGACCAATTAGAAGAGTGCGAATCGAATCATTTACCTTATTAAGGTACACTTAATGACGATCTCAATCCAAAGCAATAACGTTTGAACATTTCAGAGCGAGGTGTGGCAGAGGTCTAACCTCCAAACTTCATAAAATCACAGAGGTAACAGAAGCGGTCAGGTCCTGACTGAGCGGGCCGATAGATCGATCTGAGCTGATCGACGTTCCCCTCAGCGCTTTCAGAACGCCACAGTTCAAGCCTGTCAAACGTTCTGTTCGAATACAATGAGGTGAAATCCCTTGGCTTTGAGCTGACGCTCACATGTGTGAAGAACAGGGAGACATTCGGACTCTCGCAGACTCTACACACACACACACATACACACATACACACACACCTTACTGTGCTCATTAGACACTAGCCGAACGTGGCAATGCAGGTTGCCTCACGTGTGCACTCCCAAAAGCAGGGACTATTCCTCTAGAAGCGGTGCATTATTTCTCAGTGCTCATCGGCTTAACAGGTAAGCATAGGTATATATATATATATTTATATATATAGACATATATATATTTGTATTTGAGCTTCTGACAATAGTCTTCATCCAGTAGAGAGGACCTCATGGTGAGGTTTACAACTAAACATTATTACAAAGAGAAAAAAGGCCAGCAAAACCACGCCCTTAAGCACACAACACAATTAAGGGATAAAAAGGTTCAAATACAGTATACTATAGTTTTTTCTTTAAAAAAACTTATTACTTACAAATTTAGAAATTCACAGACATCATTGGAGGAAAATGTAGGTGATGGGGGCAGTGTCCATCAACGGTTGACATCGCAGACGTCGGTTTGGCGGTTTTTCAGCCTGGCTTGGAGCCTTCCTTCATTTAGACTGAGAGCTGGGCTCTCTGGAAATGAAAGGTTTCAGGCATCTCTCATTTCACAAGAGCCAACACGATGCTGAGCATCTCCGCGACTGGGTCAAGCTGATTGTGACCGTCAAATGAATAAAAAAAAACAAAAAAACAACAACAAAACCGGCGTCAACGCAGATGCACCGGCTGATGAGCCGCGCAAGAAGTTGTGGGCACTAATGAGTTTAAGGGCTGTGTGCGTGAGAGAGAAAGAGAGCCATTCCTATACTCTTTCTTCTGTCTCTCCTCTCTTTTCTCCCACACAGGAATGAACAGAAGCAGCAGAAAGGCAGAACTTCGGCTAGCAGAGAAAGTCCGTTCTGCTTCAGCTAACACATGGCGGAGAAGAAGGTGCAACAAAATGATCGGACGCCTTCGCGGCCAGGAAATGTAAGTGGAAAATCGGAAAAGCTGAGGGGGAGGAAAAAAAAAAAAAAACATTTACAAAAAAATTAATTATGATAAACATTGCCTAAAAGACTCACCTACTATAGCTAAAAATTAGTGCAGTGTCTGTTACGAAACTACCTTAGGAAACTAGTAGCACTCTTTTGGATTAGCTATTGAGGCGCTACGCACACCCACCACACGCGTGCGCGCGCACATACACGCAAAACACACTCGCTCACCCATACGCACTGCAGGAAGGTCAAGTATTGACATAAAATGCATTATATCATTCAAGTATACTGCTCTAAAAAAATCAATTCATCTCTATAGCTGTGCACGTGAAGAGTGGAAGGGTGCCCAGTACAGTAACAGGGTGCCGTTACAGCGAAAAAAAGGAAAGAGGATGGCTTCTGACCAGGTCAGTATTCAGTCACTCAGTAACTCTGTTTGCTTTGGATCACAGAGCGCCGCTCACAATCCCACATCCAGTCTCTCTCAGCCTTGCATCAGGCCGTTCCCCCCGGTTGCCCGGGAGCCCCACGACACTGGGGGGGCTCTGACGGACTCGTGTATGCCTGCTGCACGGGGCCTGACGCACCGCTGAAAAGTTCCTTGGACAGAAAGAGGCATCTAGGCATTAAAAGTGTGTATTGTCAAGGTGAAGCCTGCGCTGAGAGGGACTCGAAACTCGGGCGTAAAAGCAGGCTGGCTGTGAGGTATGGGCGGGGGGGCTATTGAGCAATATTAGATAGACACACACACGTAAACACACACTGTGTGTGCGCGCTTGGTTCCGGGCAGGAAGGAGAACAGGAAGCCACAAGATTTTCCTCTAACGGAGAGAGAGAAAGACAGAGAGAGAGAAAAAGAGAGAGAGAGAGAGAGACAAAGAGAGAGACAGAGACAGTGAGAGAGTATTTTTTACGCAGAAAAGTCGAGCCAATCAGAAAAAAGACGTGTAGTAGAGAGAGCCGTTTTTCTCCTGGATCCTTTTTCAGTTCGCACAGCTTGGCTTTGCAAAGTGTAGCCAGGTCCTTCGAGATGGTGTGTGCGCACTTCTGGAAACAAGTGGAGGAAGCATGCCTGGCTTGTCTGGGGCTTGGCGCCAGCCTGCCCCCTCCACGGCTCTGCTTGCATGTGGAATAATCTTCCGTTAGAGAAAAGCGTATTCCTCTTCTTCTTCTTCCTCTTCCTGGTCACCTCTGAGTAACCCGCTCACTGGTGTCGCTCTCCCTTTCTTCCTTTCTCTCTCTCTCTCTCTCTCTCTCTCTCTCTCAATCCCCAGAACAAAGCTCAAGAGTTAGAGATATGCCCCAGTAAGTCCACTTCCAGACCATCCCAGACCAGAGCTGGTCCAGACCAGGCTGAGCCTTCTTCATTGGTCTGCGCAGGAGATCAGCACAGCCGTCTGAGGAGCCATGTCCTTCACCTGGCCTTCGCCACGCTGGCCTCTGAAAGCACACACAAACACACATGTTGGAAAAGCTTCAGAATTTTTATGTGTCTTTTGTTTTGTAGCTATAAATTTGTGTTAGGGCCGTCACTCTTTCATGCTATCAAATAGTTGAATGATCAAATAGTTACCTCACTATTTACTACTTTGGGCACCCCTGGTCAAATTACATGTTTTATTGACTTTGTTCACATCCTCTATAAAGAACACACTTCTACACATTTTAATGCACAATGACTGTTTATTTGCTGAATTTAACATGTTGGGGGGAAAAAAGAAAGAAAAAAAATATGTTAAATATGTTAAACTGGCAAATAAATAGAAATTGTGCACTGAAATATGTAGGGCAAATGTGTTGCCTGTAGAACAAGGACTCTCAACTGCTGGGCTGCAGACCACGAGTAGGCCGCAAAGCACCCTGTAGTGTGCTGCGGGCCAAGACTTAGGGGGAGGCCGTGTAAGTGGTGGGCCGGAAACGGAATTTTTAAGTCAGAAAAACAAAAGTGAAACACTAATTTTACTTAATAGCAAGTAAGATTATTTAACTACCTGCCAAACCAATATTTCAGGGTTTCATTACAAGGTTTCTGTGATATAATCTTATCTTTTTCAGGCCCTGATTCTCAGGTTTCCAGTGTCAGCGCTTAATTAAATAAAAAATTAACATTTTATTTATAAAAAGTTTAGATTTTCTGTGGGCAGGTAAGTTCTCTAGTTATTCACAGGTGGACCATGAGGTGGAGAAGGTTGAGAACCCCTTTCGTAGAGGATGTCATGACTTATTTTCACACTGATTCAGAAAATCAAAACTATGTCATTTGACAGGCAAACCTTTGCATGTGACTGTAGTTCCTTAAATCAGTGGTTGGCAAGCTATTTTAGCCACAAACCGCTCCCTGTCAAGTCTCCCTGAAACACTCTAGAGCTCCTTCTTCATGCAAGAACTTCACAGCGCCAGTAGAAAACATTGTTAGTTAGTAAAATTACACATGCAACTACCAAACACACAGTAAACACAGCATTGCTGTCCACAGTAAAACAGAAAAGCTCTTCTTTCACTACTCGGTCATTCTGAATGAAGCGACATGCACTGTTTTATGAACCTTCTATCATATTTGGCTACTAATCATCTATTACTGATTCACAAAGGTTGCCTGTTTGGGTCAGAGCTGTGTACCACCGTCCAGCCAAAACGTTTCAGATTTTTGCTCAGTGTGTCATCACTTGCATTTATGTATGTACTTATGTATGTATTTATGTATTCATTAATTCTTATTTTCTGAGATTTTTCCCCCATTCCAAAGACTGTCCACAGTTAACCCAGTAAGAACCACCACTGTGGCCTACTGATATTCTATAAACATGCAATTAAGGGCTACTGTTTATATCTTTCTGTTTTATGTTCAATATACTGGGATATATAAGGGAATTTGCTCCTGAAAACCTCACCTCGCTGAACTGAAGAAAATACTGAAAGGGTACAGAAATTCTTCAAAAGTAGTCTTCAAGTAAAATGCCAATGTACAAAGTACAGTTACAGATGTGATTGATGTTCATATTTCATAATCATTTTAGCTTCCTTCTTGCACGTTTTAAAGTATTAGCTTAATACTGTGATTTTTTTTTAATGTTTTTATGTTATCATATCATGAAAATGTCAACAACCCTACTATATCCATGCGGGTGTGTGTAGGTGTGCAAAATGCAAATGAGCCCTCTATTTTTTGTGTGCTGTGAACATCCGGATCTGGTTTTTTGGGTGTTCTGATGAATGAAGGAATTTGCATGATTCAACAAATGTAAGTATTTAACAAAAACATAAACAAACAAAATATTATAAAAACACAATCAAATTAGTTCATGTAACTTACTAAGTTGATTGATGTCTATTCTGATATACTGCAATAATAATCTTTTCTGATAACATCATAACCCCAATACATAGCAGTGTTCTCTCTATATGGTGTTTTGGCTATACTATGCAGCCCTTGTCTACGTATGGAGTATGTGCTGCGCATACCTATGCACGTTCTCCATGGCTGCGACCTCGGCGAGGGCTGCTAGGCTGAAGAAGGCCGGCAGGCTGCCCGACGCTTCCGCCCCGTCTGCCTCTGCTGGTCTGGGGTCAGTGTAGCAGCTCTCCTTGTTGCATAAAGTCTCTTGAGTTAATGGCTTTTCATCCTGATCCTGGGTCAGCTCCTTGGCTTTATCCGCTGTAAGAACACAAAGCCACATTCAGCACAGTTCTTTTTGAACAACAACTCAGTCGTCAGTTCTAACGGTCATACTACGCTTAAACACCACTTCATGGCAGGAATTAAACAATGTCTACGTTTCAATGCACAGTCTTAAGTGGTTCTTGAAGGTTCTTTAGTAAAGGCAATGGGTCTATCTGGAACTATGAAGTTCAACAACCTTTTCTTTCGTACTATACAGAACCCCTTTTTGTGAAGAGTGAAGCACATAGAAAATGTCTGTAGAAAAGTACTATTTGATTCTGAGTCAACCCATACAAAAAAAAAGAAAATATGTTACAAAATGCATTACAAATATACAGGGTGTCCAAAAAAACTGACATCATTTTGTAGTCTAATAACAGCCAATTCTCCCTCAAATGATCTCAAATTTTAACAAAATGTGTTTAAAAACTAACCAAGTTTAATTTTTAACGTTTTTTTCAGGTTGAAGAATGGCGTTCATTAGAAATGAAAAGGCATTTTGTGTGTTAGAACATGCTCGAACACAGTCAAACAAGAGTGCAGCGTGCATTTCTGAGAAAATTCAATAAAAATGCACCAACTGGACAGCAGATTTGGACATAGCACAAAAAATTCAAAGAGGAAGGCTGCAAGACAAAGGGATCTGGACGACCACCAGTACCGGAAGATATTATATTTGTGAAGTTTTGTGAAATCGGTTATAAAAACTAACATCCCTCTGAATTTTTTGTTCTAATTTTGATAAATAAATCTTGTATTGTTTAACATGAAGCCTATTTAAATTTGTTTGCCTACGACATGTAGTTACTCAAATGCTGTATTATTTGTTACTCAAATCCTGTAGTATTTGTCTTGGAATACATTAAGAACATATTTCATTTTTCATCATCTCACTTCTCCTTTGTAATGAAAAAAAATAATGATAGGGAATTCAACGCTGCACACCAAAGATGTCATCAGGCCTGCTTAAATCGATTTGCTCATTTACATAAAGAAACAAAACACTGCAATATTATTTTGCACTAATATAATAATTTCAACAATACCACACTTCAATCTCTGTTCTGTGGAAGCCCATTAATGCCAGGTTCTTTTCCTGACAGCAGTATGTCAAAATATTGTGTCAAGTGTCAAGAAATAAAGATTTATTTTTTATTTTTTTAAATATTGACTTGCTATCTAAAAATAGGAACTTATTTACTCCAAATATTAAATTACTATGTCTGATTTTAAGAATGGGTTGCTGAGATGGGCGAAGTGGCTGCATATGAAAACCTATCATTTAAACTGTTTGGGCTTTCAGAAGTGTAAAGACGTAAATGAGACAAATATTTAAGATTTACAGAGAGTTCTTAAAGATGAGTATTGTGGTGTGACCCTCTTTGTTGTTGTAATTTATTATTTTTCAATTAATTAATTTATTTTTTGTCATTTTATTTTATTTACTTATTGATTTATTTATTTATTTCTAAGACTTGTGTATCTATGGATATCTGTGCTGAAATATTTACTGGAGTGTGTTTGCTTGCTCATTTATTTATTTATATATTTATTTATTTATTTACTTATTTTCATTATTATTGCAATTTATTTATTTATTTATTTATTTTATTTTTAATGATGCAGAGCCTTGTACTGCACTGGATTAAGTCAGGTCATGAATGTAGTACCAAAACGGTTGGGGTGGGAAGGGGGAGGGTAAAGGGTGTCATGTTGTTGCAAAATACAAATATATGTGGTTTTGTATTAATCGGAAATAGAAATCAATAAAAGTTGTTAATCTTATAAAGTTACTATGTCTGAGTAATGACTCGTTTCTCGAAATATTGAATTACTACATCAGAATAACGACTTTTCCTCAAAATATTGATGTACAACATACTGCCAAAAGTACACCTGACCATCATACCTACATGAGCTTGTCAGACATCTCATTTCAAAACTATAGTGTCGCAGGCATCATCGGGGCCCGGGGGACGAGCGCATGACACATAGGTATTAATATGAAGTTGGCTCTCTCTTTGCGGCTAAAACTTCCTCCACTCTCCTTTTCTACACGATTTCGGAGTGTGTCCATGGGAATTCGTGGCCATTCAGTCAAAAGAGAATTCTGAGGTCAGAGACTGATGTTGGTATGAGAAGGCCTGGCTCACAATCAATGTTCATATTCATCCCTTAGGTGTTCAGGGCTCTGTGAAGGCCATGACCCATTCAACTGCTAATGTTTGTCTATGGTGATTGCACTGTTAGTGACAGGTGTGGCTGAAACACCTAAACTCAATAATCAAGAAGGCTGTCAACATACTTTCGGCCATACAGTGTACTACATCCGAATAATTACTTATTTTCTGAAAACACTGATTTGCTATATTGAAATAATGACTTACTATGTCAAAATAATGCTCTAGCACAGAGGTCACAAATAGGGGGACTGCTGTCCTATGCGAACCTGGACCTATAACCCATAAACTATGGAGTATTAAGGAAGGACGAGGCGAGAAACAGCAGTCTGAGAACAAAGTGAGTCAGAGGGAAGTTATTTCACGCGTTCTCCAAAAAGAGAAAACTGACAGAAAATAAATAAATAAATATTGTTGAAATATGACTGAATTGTACTTTATTTGATCTGACGTTCAGTTGTTGACTCCATAAGATGTTGATATAACTACTAGGCTACTACAGTATACAGTATATGGCACTGAATCATAATGCAAGTTAGACATTATGTTCCGGACCTCTGCATGAGGAAATTTTCTCGAACTGGACCTTATTGAGGTTTAATTAAATACCCCTACTCTATATAATGACTTATAAACCTAAAACATTTCTTGAGATTTAACAACTCATTATGTTGACCTAGTATCTCAAAATCCCGAGAAAATAAGCCAATTGAAGAAATTCTTTTTCATGCTCATAGGACAGGTAACTAACCCTAACCCTAACCCTGTCACACAGAAATCAACTCAACCCACGCACATGTCTGCACAGGCACCACCCGGGTGTTTTGCCCAAACATGTGCAACAATATGTCTGTCGCTGTGTGAAAAGGAGGCTGACGACTCACCCTCTGCGGGTGACAGTCGTCCGTCGGCCGTGCGCACCAGGTGAGTGATCTTACTCTTCCTGGCTTTTCTCTTCTGGCTGCCCACAGGTACATCACCTGCCTTGCGGGCTTCGGGAGAGAGAGATGCACAAGCAGCGTCCAGCTTCGCTGTGTGACCCGCCTCGACGGCCACCTGTTCAGGCTGAGCTATGGCTGCAAATGACAGAAAAAAAGACAAGCAGATAAAAGGAGATGCTATCAGTGAAGGTTAACTAATGGCCTACCAGGCTCAGTAACACTGCTACAACGCTGCGTTTATGAAGTGCGTGCGTGCATCAGAGTGACACTTTTTGGGTGACCTAGATTTTTTTTGGCAACACAAAGCTCTGAAACTTGTAAGCCTTAACCACTGATAAACAACACCCTTCATCGGTGGCCTATTTGCCTACACCCACTGTCACACACATTCACGCACACACGCACACGCTCATTCACTCAGAAGACAGATCAAGTGAATTAAGCCAAAAATAAGCCAAAGTCACACAGCACATGCTTTCTCTGTGTCACCTTTGTCCGAGGTACCCGGCTTGTCCTTTTTGTGCTTGTACTTGCTAACAATCTTGTGGAATAAAGTCTTTTTCTGAGATGGAGATGGACCTGATGGTAAATAAAACAGAAAAGAGGAAGACAGCATGCTATGTTAGATGACTGCCATGACGTGCTCTACTATGGAGGTGAGCATTTCCTGTCGCCATGTCCAAAACAGGCAATGAGTGGATGCGCCAGGAGGAAGTGATCTAAAGCACTCCATTGTACTCACCCTTGCTTGGCGTAGGACTTTCAGGAAGGCTGGCTGAGTTGGCTTTCTTCCTTTTTGTGACCGCAGTGCTTTTTTTGTCGAACGTTAGGGGACTGTACTGAGGCAGGCTGTTAAACTTTTTCTCAAACTCCTCCTCCAGCTTTCCTAGACTGCTGCAGACAAAAACCAAAGTTGATCTCAAAACCTGTTAATAAACTTTACTGTACAGTATGGCTTCCTCCTCTACAAGTAAACGTAGTCATAAGTATTAATGAAAGGCAAAATCAGCTCTTGCGATAAATGTTTAACATACTTTGCTCCATCAAACAATGTCTCGACTTCACCGCTTCGCTCTAATCCCCAAAATCAGTGGAGTTAATGTTATTGCTCTTTTTCCTAAATGTACTACTTTTCTTCCATAAATAAAGCAAGAATGATGCAGAATACAACACTGCATATCACAGATGATATCAGGCCTGCTTAAATCTATTTACCATCTTGGTGTTCATTTATATAAGCAAATAAAATACTGAAATATTATTTTGAACTGATATATACATTTATGCCATGTTTTAATCTCTGTCCTATTGAAGCCCATTCCTGACAGGTTTGTTTCTGGCAGCAGTGTGTCAAACTTTTGACTTAGTATCTTGAAATTTACATTCATTTACATTCACGGCATTTGGCAGACGCTCTTATCCAGAGCGACTTACAATTTGATCATTTTACACAGGCAGGCGAAGGCAGCGTTAGGAGTCTTGCCCATGGACTCTTATTAGTATACGGGAAGGTGTTTGCCCAGGCAGGGGACTGAACCCTGGTTTGCAGCATAGAAAGCAGAGGTGTTACCTACTACACTACACCAACCACGAAATCATGACTTAAGTTTTTTAAATGTTGACTTACTATCTAGAAGTAATTACTGTCTCAAAATACCGAATCAGGCCCAATCCCATTTCACCCCTCGCCCCTACCACTTAGCCCTTAGCCCTCTGTTTTGCGCGTTCACGTCTAGGAGTAGGGTGTCCTGTTTCTTGTTGAGATAGAGGGGGAGGGTGAAGTGTTGGGGCTACATGGCCTTTTTCAGAGACACTCTAAACAGAGTGTTATGAGAAAAAAAGAAAAACCAGCAAAATGGCTGAACAAGAGACCAAAGAAACCCACTAATGTGAGAATTTTCTCTGTTAAAAAATTACGATAACCACTGTATTGTCTTAGTTTAATGTCGTTTCAGTGTATTACGGTCGTTTTCTTCATAACAAGCATAAAAATTCGCTAATATCATGCTAATGTCTCTGTAGTTAGCTAGCTAACCTTCCCGTTCCACCTTAAATAGTCCAGCAGTTCTGATGCCTGAAGCGCCAGAATGTAACTGCTGCACCATTTAAGGTGGAAAGGGAAGCTGGTGAATATCTGACTTCAGCTTCATATCACTGAAGAATTAGCGGTGGGTGATAATAAATAATTGCCCCCCTCTTTGAAGGCATATGATGCCCTAAATGTAATTAAAGCCCAGCAGTGAGGAGCTGAACTTTTCCCTTCTCTGCTGTCACTGAAGACGGGCCGGGTCGCCTACAGAGCAGCGCTAGTAGCTGTTAATGAAGTGATGTTTGTTTTTTTTAATAATATGAGGGTCCCATTTCGTAGGGCAAGATTTCAACCACTATCCCTTGTAACTAGTTCCAAGAGGTTAGGGTGACACTTGAAAATAAGGGGTAGGGGTAAAAAGAAGAAATGGGATTGGGCCTTACTATGTCAAAATTCTATGTCAATGCCTAATTTTCTCAAAATACTGATGTGCTATTTTGAAATAATGACTTACTATGTCAAAATAATGATTACTATCTCATGATAAAGACTTATTATTCCAAAATGTAAATAATTAATTCATTGCTTGGACATAATATCTCAAAATCCCAAGAAAACAAGTCATTATTTTGAGAAGTCACTACTATAAAATATATTGAGAGTAAATATTTTGAGGAAAATGAGTCATTAATTAGGGATAATATTTTGACCTTCTGCAGCCACAAACAGAAAAGGAGAAAAAAAAAATCTGACATTTTTGTCTCCTCTGCCTGGTAGGGATGGACTTCTATACCGTTCAGCTTTGGTGTTGCAAGAGGGGACAAAGTATTCACTGAAACCAATAAAGAAAACAGCAATGGGAGTGAATGAGCGCTCACCCTGGCACCGTGTCATCTTTAGATTTAGACTTCTTCAGCTTTTTGGGGTTGCTGGCGGCTGGCTGAGTAAAACTACAGCTTTCTTCAGTCCATCCTGTTTCATGCTCAGACACAGCACCCCGTACCGAACCTCTCTTTCCTGAAGGGCACAGAAACACACGAAAAAGTTAACTAAGAATAGATATTCATACAATCTGTCAGTGAACTCTGCTATAAATGGACTATATAGGTTAAATTCAGCACTCCATTCAATATAATTCAATATTCAATAACTGAAGTTAACATAATCACTATATTTTCCAAAATACATCACAGTATAAGAGACACTTAAGTGTGTAAAGTTAAATAAAGTAAATGACAAATTTAATCAAGTTAAAGAACCCAGTCTTACAAAAGCTTGTTTTGATCAGAATGTTATCTTCAAATTACACCAAAGGGAACATTACACAGCATTAACACCACACTAACCAGACAAAAATAAGATTTTCAGAAAAGAAACTTGCTCTTTATTTAGATTTTATTTATTTTTTTTGGTTCTTTTACTTTACCTATCAAAGCTGCTAAAAAAGAAAAATACATATTACTGTGTGATACCAACACCAGTATACCAGTGCAGATGATATATATTATCCAGGACTTTCTCCAAAGACATATTGGTCCCACTTTAGAGTGTCTCTAATAACTGTGTAGTTACACATGAACAACATATGCAACAACAATTGTAACTACTGATGATTTAGCCAATGTTACAGATGGATCACAAAACAACAGCCTATGTAATTACGCATGAGCATCAACTTCAGTTTTGCCCCATGAAATTACACAAGCATATCTTTTTTGATACACTACAGATCAGAAGTCTTTTCCAGCAGTTAAAATAAGTATGGTTTACATAACATTAGATTCATGTTTTACATAATTACTGTGTAGTAACTGTGTTGTAACAAGTAACCTAACCAAATCACATCGATTAATACCATTCTGTAATTACGCTGTAAATGAAACGAAACACATTTAATTAATGTTATAAAAGTTACATGTTAAGATAAGGGGTCATCAGCTGTTCTGTCACATTACAGAATGGTTTAAAGCTGAAACTGGTTACAGTGTCACAGCACCAGCAACATAAACACTAGCTAAACGTTAGGAAAGTTGGCAGATACAGTGTAAGTAATGTCTTAATGCAAGTTATTACATACTTTCCTTTTACTGCTGGAAAAGACTTATGAAAACAACTGCTGTTCCAGTCTGATTACAAATGTAATTAGGTTTGTGTTATTACCCTTGTGTAATAACATGAAGTCTAAATAAATACATAATACACCTGTAAATCCATGAGGCAAAACTGAAGTTGCTACACATGTGTAATTACATAAGGTGTACTTCTGCAATCCATCTGTAACAGTGACTAAACCATTAGTAGTTACATTGTTGTTGCATATGTTGTTAACATGTAACTACACAGTTATTAGAAACTGTCAGCTTTCCTAACATTCAGCTAGTGTTTATATTGCTAGTGCTGTGACGTTGTAACACGTTTCACCTTTGAACCATTCTGTAATGTGACTGTGTTGCATTACACAGTACCTACATAACAACTACACAGGAACTGTCCACTTATTTTAAAGAGTAACTTTAACACTACACTACAGCAAAGTTCCTGTGTAGTTGCTATAAAGGTACAGTGTAATTACAGAATGGTATTAATCAATGTGATGTGATTAGGTTACCTTGTTACAACACAGTTATTCCACAGTAATTATGTAAAACATAAATGTAATGTTATGTAAAACATACTTCCTTTAACTGCTGGAAAAGACTTCTGATCTGTAGTGTTTTAAAAAGATACACTTGTGTAATAACATGAGGCAAAACTGAAGTTGATACACGTGTAATTACATAGGCTGTACTGCTGTAATCCATCTGTAACACTGACTAAATCATAAGTAGTTACACTGTTGTTGCAGATTATTCACGTGTAACTACACAGTTATTAGAGACACTTAATATAAGTGGGACCTATATATTTTTAAAGCTGTTCACACTGCGTCATGAGATAACTCCAGTACCTCTGTCCACATTGGCCCGCAGTGATGTCAGCATCCCCTCAGAGACCAGCGTCTTATACAGAGCTCCCTTACAGCTGCGCTCCGACTTCCTGGATCCGCACACTTCAGGTTTGGGGTCGCTGTCCCTCTCTTCTGGCTTTGCTGGCTTGGTTTCTGGTTCTTTATCCTCTCCTCTGGGTGGCTGTGGGGCATCCTCCTCGCCTGCTGTCACTTGCTTCGAGGGACTTGTCTCTTCAGCACTGATTGGCTGTGGTGGGGTGCTGTGCTGAGCTGAGACCTCCATGCAGTTAGGGAGCTCCACCTTCACCTCCATCTCCTTCTTGCACTCAGTTTTCACCTCCGTCTCACAAAGTGGAGCTGCTTCTCCTTCCGTCTGTGGCGGCTTGCAGTCCTCTCCGCTGCCCTGCTCCTCCTGCTCAATCGCCTCCTCCTTGGCCCTGAGCTGTTTCTTTACTTTGGGTTTGATCTTCTTCTTGGTTGCTGGAGGCTGGTCTGTGGGGCTGGCGCCGTCCTCGCTGTCTGAGGGTCGAGGTCGTTTCTTGGCCGTCTCCTCCGAGCCAAAGGCCCCTTTAGCCACCGCCTCGATGGTGTACATTAAGCTCTCTAGGTCTGAGCTGGATGATGGGCGTTTCTTGCAGGTCTTTTTGGGTGAGCCGGGGCTCTTCTCGGGCTTTTCCGTGTCCTTGCCTTCCTTCGGCTTCTTCTTTTTTTTCTTCTTTGCGGGCTGGTCGAGCGTGGGGGCACTGCAGTCAGTAGGGGTGGAAGAGGAGGAGGAGGAGGAGGAGGATGAAGACGGGGTGGGAAGAGGCAGGTCAGGGTTGTTGGGGGCTGCATCAGCAGTGCTGTGCTGAGCACAGAGGGAGGACGAGTCCACAGCAGGCTGAGAAGAGAGAGCCTCCAGTTTCTCTGCCTCAGAGGCCAAACACATCTAACACACACACACACACACACACACACACACACACACACACATACAGAGTTAGGGTACATTGATACAGCTTCAATTATACAATACTAAACAGAGGTAGTGCAAAAAAATTAAAATCCTTGGCTGAAACTGAAATTCAGGACAAACTGGACCCCAAACTGAAACCAGAAAATCTGGAATTATTAAACAAACAAACAACCAAATAACTCAATCAATCAATTAATAAAAAATAAAAATAAACTTACTAAAAACTTACTAAAATGCTACAGTATGTGCCAATCCAATGTCCTCGACAGCATGAAACGGTTATTCAAGTAGTGATTACATTATTTTTTAGCTATTCTTTTCAGATTAACTCTGTTGTTTGTAAAATCTTCTTGTCATTTTGTCATCAAACTAAGGCTACATATGGTACGGTCGTTGTACTGGGTGTTGTATAGCCACTGCATGATTATAAATCACTCATCTAATGTCCCTCAAAGAAAACTGGGAATAGTTCCACATGGCCGACATGTTTATATTTTATCTGCTGCTGCTCAAACTTTTTGAAAGTGTTCACACTGACCAGCACGGGGAAGTTAGGAAAACAAACAGTGATTTAAATAACTATTTCTCATTTTCATTACCACTGAAATGATCTAGTCCTAGGCCTATTTAATCTTTGTTTTTTCAGCGCTTTTCTCTGACAGCCAAAAAACGTAAGTACCATGTTCAAAATCCCAGTGCATCCCTATTAAACCGACCATTCTCAACCATGGTTCTGAAGTAACCCCAGCCCAGCACATTTCAGTGTTTTCCAAGCTCCCATCACACCCACTTCAAGTCATGAAAGGCTTGTAAACGAGCTGATTAGTTGGATCAGGTGTGTTGGGAGCAGGGAAACACTAACATGCACAGGGGGTACTCCAGGAACATGACTGGGAACCGCTTGAACAGACCATCTCCAAAGGAGAACATCTGCTTAAATTGTACAGAGCAATGGCCACCAGGTGGCAGCATTGCCATCAAAACAGTGTATAGACAGATTATGTAACATTTCCACCATTCAGTCTGAAATAAACACACCAAGATATTCGCTGCTGTGAACCCCAACCAGTCAATGAGTGACTGCTAATTACTAACGGGCATTAGTAATAATCATATGATAAACATACAGCTGCATGTCTAGCACGTGTTCATAACTAGACACCGTCATCAGTGAGTCTATGGGCAATGTGACTGCGAGTGTGTGTCTGTCCGTCTGTTCTGTACCTCAGCGAGCTGGAAAAGAGCAGACTGGCCACACTGCTTCCCCTCAGAAACCGAGGACTGAGAACCACTAGAGGAGATCTGCAACAGTGAAAGTGAAAGGGTTGGTGTCAATGTACTGGAAAAGAAAGTACAAACATTCAGACAAACTAAATACTGCTGAACAGTTCCCTAGTTGCTCTGATGTAATATCAAGTGTTGACTGTTATAGGTTTAAATAATCTCCCACCCGAATATTCCAGGACAGTATAAGGGAAGATGAGACAAAGTCAGCAAGACATTATTGGAGATCCAGCAAAGAGGTCCAGCTTTCAGCTGACGTACTGCCATGTGAATTTCACCACACCACTAAATTCTACCGCTGCCATTTTGAGGGACACTGACAAATATTACTATGAGACTGTTCAAACCATAGACTCCCTCTGGCTCTACAGACACATAACCCAGCTCTTAAAAACCCAGTAAACCTGCAACTGGTGGAAGGTCTCACAATACAACACTATATCCACTGCAACTTAAAAAACCCAAACAATCTAGCATTTGGAAGGATTCTGGCAGTCGAGCCTAACTGCTTTAGAGTTAGGACCAGTTTCGACATGGCTGTACTAGTAGGACTAACGGAAGTGAATAACAGACACAAATTATGTCAAGTACAAGTCAGAAGACAACATTTTTCAACCTAATCTGTTTCACCTGTACCTGTAACACCCGGTCGACTAAAATGGATACAACTGTTTATATGTTTCCCAGTACTTATTTAAAAAAACCCTCAAAACATGCCTACAACCAGGGTTACACTGATACCGTATCAGCATCTGCCCTGATACTGGCACTTAAATACACCGTCATTACTGTCAGAAATAGAGAATAAGGATACCAGGACGCAATTTTAGGTGGGCATGTGCACTACTGAGTCACGCCTGCAAGCATGCCAGTATATGGAGTTTAAAGCCAGGCATACACTGTGTGATTTTAGAGATCTTGTTCTTTGGTGAAAACCATCCTGTACAAAGCCTGTGATTTATATACTCACACTCGGTCTATAAACTATAAACTATACACTCACGACCGAGTATAAACACTTGGTCCGACTGACATGACATGACATGGGTGCTCACACGCGTGAAAAGCAGCCCCTACAGTCAGCTCTGTCTACAATTTCTAATAAAGCCGTTTCATTCAAAACAACACGCTGCGCCTCTGAGTCCCAAGCAAAACGTTGGATGAATCTCAAATGGCTCCCTGCTTCCTACTTAGTGCACCACATATTAAAAAAGTTGCTCCTGTACCTGTAAAGTGCGTCACATGTCTAATCAATAGCCTTCTGAGATTCAGCCGTGTGTGCACAGTTCTATACTGAACAAACAGTGCACTATTTTGGTGCAGAAGCCAGAATTTAGTGCACTACATAGGAAGTAGGGGCCAGCTATTGACTAGATTCAGCCGTTGACAAACCGCTACACCAGCTTTGCTAACTTGTGCTGCATGGTGCACCGCAGCTAAAGACCAGGCGGTCTACAGGCAGCTCTACAAACACACAAAAAACACTATTTATTTATACCTCGTAATTCAACTCAGTTAAACGGAGCAAAGTCATCATATACAGACGCTGGTGCTGCAAATGTGGACTGTTCTGCCTCTGTGCAGGACTGGTGGTTGTGACTGTGTGTGGTTTGAGAAAATGGTTCGTGAGGCAGCTCACACTGTGAGACAAGCGACCAAAATTTCTGACAAGTCAGAAAAACACCCGATCATCCGACTGCTCGTTTGGGCATCGTTTCCACTCTCACACTGCACGGCAAATGGCAGCCGATCAAGCAGAAATTTGGCCCGACCATAAAATTCAGTCAGCTTCGACCAAATCACGCTTAAAATGGTCTAAAATCGCACAGTGTACGCCTGGCTTAACTGAAGCAAGCAACATGGTGGTGGTGTGGGATTATTTCACGTTTGAAAAAAAGAGGAACGCTCACTGAAAACTCTGAAAGCCAGTATTTCACGTGAGGCATGACCAAAAAATATTTAACAGCATAAATATTAGAATTTAATGGCACCTATCCCTTAGATAGCATTAGGATTGGTGTTGGTACTTGGTATCAGTGATACTTAAAGATCATTTATCGGTACTTGGAGAAGAAGTGGTATCGATGCTTCCCTGCTTAGAAGCCAATGGTCAGAGGCAGACTTGGGTGACATGGCAAACTTCATGACATTTTCATGATACAAGATCCGTACCACAATATTTTGACAGACACAACACACTAGTAGAGCTAGATTTAAAACCGCCATCAAAAACTCAACAGCACAATGATTTTCATTAAGCATTGCACACACTGTACTGCACTAAATCAAGTCAACAGGACTAATTACGTTCCATTTTTAATGAAACCTGCAGTTGGTCTGTATTCTTCAAGTACAGATGATATCCATGAATATGCCCATGAATCATAAAGCATCCTGTTCACCTACAATAACAAAACCAACCAGATTCCCCTTCTTTCTATCACAAATCGGCTGGAGCTGAGACCGTACCTCGGCCAGCTGGAAGAGGGGAGACCGCACACAGCTGCTAGGAAGATCGGGCGAGTTGGGCTGAGACGGGCCACATGCCTGAAGGAGAGAGAAAACAGAGAGCAGTGAGCAACAGCGCATCAGTAAGGCAGCATGCAAAAGCACTGCAACAGATGCTGCTCTTCTCACATGTGTAGCAGAGTGCAGTGATTTCCACGTGAGGCACTGGCTCTTACAGCAGTGAAGTGAGCAAGTGGACATGAGCATATAAACGATGTTTATTGGAACTGGGGCCGTTTCAGTTCAAGCGGGCTGATTCGATTAAAGGTGGAGGTGAGAGAACTCTCCCCAGATGGCACAAAGCTGTTATAACAATAGTCATTCCACAGTTTGTGCTCTACATTTGCAGCACATGAATATGAATACGGTGGAAAATCTGCTTTGCACAACGTAAGCAGTTCTAAATGAATACTACTCAATGATTTGATGACCACTTGAACATGGGATTGTCAAATGGACCCAAAATCTTCTTGTCGTAACGGTGTCTGAAATACTACTATGAGTATAATGCGATATGTTCAGAACTGTAATATTGTACTGTTACATCATCAGTACAGAGGACATTATCAGTTACTTTAACATATACACTCATGGTCACTTTATTAGGAACACCTGCACACTTTCTGTGACCTGCAATTATACAAGCAGTACATCATGTGGCCACAGCACAATGCATAAAATGATGCAGACGTGGCTCCACAGCCTTAGTTAATGCCCAAACTTCAGAACGGGGGGCGGTGTGCGGTCTTAGTCACTTTAAATGTGGCAGAATGGTGAGAGAAAAAAAGCAAATCACATCCAGTGACTGTCAGTTCTGTGGCCAAAAACCCTGTCTTGATGAAAGAGGACTGAGGACAATGGCCAGACTTTCTCCAAACAGGCTCAAAATCACTTAAATAACCACTCTACATCAGTGGTGGTCAGAAAAGCATCTTTCAATGCACGTCAAACCTTGAGGTGGATGGGCTACAAAAGCAGAAGACCACATTAGGTTCCACTCCTGTCAGTCAACAACAGGAATTTGAGGCTACAGTGGGCACAAGCTCACCACACTGGACAACATGAAGATTGGTCTGATTAATCTTAATTTCTGCTGAGACGTGCAGATGGTAGGTTAAGAATTGTAGCATACACGAATGAATCCATGTACCCAGCCTGCCTTGTGTTACGGTTCAAACTGTTTGTGATGATGTAATGATGTCGGAAATGTTTTCTTGCCACAAATTGGACACCCTAATACCAATCAAGCATCATCTTAATGTCACAACCTATCTAAGTATTGTTTTTGACCATGTACATCCCATTATGGCCACAATTTGGAAATCTTCAAATAGCTACTTCCAGTACGATTATGCACCTCGTCACAAAGCATCTCACAAAAAACATCCAAACTGGATCCATGAAAATAAGGTCAGTACTTCAACGGCCTCATCAGCCACCAGATCTGAATCCAACCAAGCACCTTTGAAACGTGGTAGACTTGCAGTATGACTGTGTACCTGACAAACCTGCAGTAATTAAGTGACAAAATCATGTCAACATGGACCTGGATCTCTCAGGAATGTTTCCAGCACCTTGTTGAATCCTAGCCACAAATAATTCTGGATGTTCTGAGAGCAAAAGGAGGTCCTACACAGTGTTAGAATGGCCTTTCTAATAAAGTGGCCAGTGCATCTACATGACCATTTAAATGTGAGAATTTACTTTCACTGCCCTTTACAACAGATCATGGAGTTTAGACCTCTCACCTCCGTCTGGGGGGCTGCTGGGCTCTTACTTTCTGAGCTTTTAAGTCCCTCAGCAGGATGGTGTGGGCAGGAGGAAATCTGCGGACACAAAACCACACAGCATTAAATATGTTTATTACATTAAGTGTGCATGTTATTGCATGATTGAGAATGATTGTGTATGCAAATGTGCAATATGTGTTTTTGGGCTTGTCACCTCAGCCAACTGGTAAAGGGCAGATTTTCCAGAATGCTTAGCGACATCTGCGACCCCAGTCTGTGAAGTGCTAGAGGAAATCTAAAAAAAAACAAAATGACAAATCATGAAGCTTAAAATAATAAAAAAAACTGAACGAAAAAACACAAATGAGATATGCGTCTGATATTAAAAGGCAACACTGTATGTATTGAGTTGATAAGTCAACATTGAGGCAAGGTTCATTAATGGTGCTACACAATAACCCAGGTCATAAAACAAATGACTTGCGTAAGTAATTTTCCTCCTGAGGGTGCACACAGACAAAGTACTGCTCAGCGCTGTAGAAGCAGAGGCTACAACTGATATTAAGTCCTGTCTATGAACCCGGGGGGGGGCTCTAAGGCCCAATCCCATTTCACCCCTCACCCCTACCACTTAGCCCTGTGTTTGGTGCGTTCACGTCTAGGGGGTAGGGTGTCCCAATTTTTGTTGAGATAGAGGGGGAGGGTGAAGGGTTAGGGCTACATGACCCTCCAAACGGAGGTTTTTCAGACACTCCAAACAGAGTTTTATGAAAAAAAAAAGAAAAACAGGCAAGATGGCTGAACAAGAGACCAAAGAAACCCACCAATGTGAGAATTTTCTCTGTTACTAATTACGATAATCACTGTATTATCTTAGCTTAATGTCGTTTCAATGTATTATGGTCGTTTTCTTCATACAAACATAAAAATTGCTAATAGCATGCTAATGTCTCGGTAGTTAGCTAGCTAACTTTCCCGTTCCACCTTAAATAGTCCAGCAGTTCTGATGCCTGAAGCGCCAGAATGTAACTGCTGCACCATTTAATGGTGGAAGTAGCTGGTGAATATCTGACTTCAGCTTTGTATCACCAAAGAATCAGCGGTGGGAGATAATAAATAATTGCCCCCTCTTTGAAGTCATATGACGCCCTAAATGTAACTAAAGCCCAGCAGTGAGGAGCTGAACTTTTCCCTTCTCTGCTATCACTGAAGACGGGCCGGGTCACCTAAAGAGCAGCGTTAGTAGCCGTTAATAAAGCAATGATTTAATTTGAGCGTCCCATTTCGTAGGGCAAGATTTCAACCACTACCCCTTTTAACTCAGTTCCAAGGGGTTAGGGTGACACTCGAAAACAAGGGGTAGGGGTAAAAAGAAGAAACGGGATTGGGCCCAAGTTGCTCGTTGGGTGGGAAGATCAGCAAATGTCCTTTTTGCTAAGGTTTTTGACAATGTTGTAAGACCACCGGACCCAAAAGATTCAGTGGCAGTTTTCTTGCACAATTGAAGGTAGGTGCAAACCTCAACATGATACATACTACAGTAGAAGTTGGCGATAATAAAACCCGGTACTAAAACTTCAGTCAGAGCATTGTGGGCTTTGCTAAAATGATATACAGACATCCATTAGTAAGATAAACCTCTCTCTGTTCAAGTTCAAGGTGGAATACTGTGTTGTGACAAGTCAGACTTGCCTGCCTTTTAAAGAGTCTTTCCAAACTACAGACATTTTTGCAGATGATGTAATACAGTTTATCCATAAAACTCAGAGACGCTGCTTATTGTTTTTCAATGGACCCCCTTTGGCACTCTTTAGTGACATAAACACAGCGCTGAGGGCAATTAGGATCACTTAGCAGCAGCAAAATGGAATTCACTGCAGATTAACAGGAGTGAGAGGAGTCCACAGAGACACAGAGCAAAGCTCTACTTCTACAGAGTGAAGAAACAGACATGGACACATGCACACATAGAAGCCCACCCAAATACACAACGATCCCACTCAAAAACATACAAACCTTCAAAGGTAACATGAAGAGCAAAGTATAAGTAACTGAATAGTCATAGTACTGTTGTTTTGGTCCTGTATTCCAGCATGATGGACTTCAAATGATACAACGAAGAATCATAAGTTATAAATTATTCACTGGAAAAAAAAGCTGAAAATATTTAACAGAATATTACACAGAAGCTTCAACAACTATGTCGCTGTTGTCGGAAGAAAACCTTGTATCTCCAAAATGGTAACTTTACAGGAAAAGTATAAAAACCTACTTTACTTTTAATGTAATTCAATGGAACCAGACTTTTTCCCCCCAAGTCATTTTGGGCCGTTTCTTTTGGTCCATTCATCATGAAATTTACACACAATGTAAAGGGCAACGGGCACTTTCAAATTATGTCAAATATTTTAACTTCCAACAGCAGCGATATATAATATCAAATATAATTTTCGGTATTTAATGTTTACATTTATGGCATTTAGCAGACGCTCTTACCCAGAGGGGCTTACAATTTGATCAACTTACACAGGAAGGTGAAGGTAGTGTTAGGAGTCTTGCCCAAGGACTCTTATTGGTATAGTGTAGGGTGCTTACCCAGGTGGGGATTGAACCCCAGTCTACAGCATAGAGGGCACCCACTACACTATACCCACTATAGTGTTACCCACTACACTATACCAACCACCACGCAATGTGACTGCGCTTTGCCTCTATTCTAGCTTCTATTCTTTTTGGGAGACTTGCCTCCAGTGTTTTCAAAGAAATCTGTAGGGAAGCCCTTCAAAGTTCAGTCTACATTCAGCTCTGTTACGGTCTGGGCAAAAGTTTAAGTATTCTTTGAAACTTCTGTTTCTTCACTTATTCTTCTTTGGCTTTCCCTTCCGTATACAAGTGGATTATCTTAAATCTAATCTCCTCAGAAATATCTCCTGAAAAATGAATAAACTGTACTTAACATCCAGTTTGACTGGAAATTAAACAAAGGGAGCTCTGCGACTTTTGCACCATACTATATAAACACAACCTTAAATTCTCATGATTTATACTTGGTTGATGCGTTGCAGTCATTGACTGCCTGAAGTCTACCATGCAGCGACACCGTTTCTCTTTTGAGGTGTTTGGCTGGGTCTGAGCAGCTCATAAACTTCAGTTCACTTCAGAATTCATCCTGTTAAAGGCTCTGGCAGTCAAATCATAAAGATAAGTGAATATTAACCTCACACTCTGCGCTTTCAGTTATTACTTCATTTATGACTTTAAATTCACTGTTCTGTGGTACATTAACAAAACAATAAACATTGGGTTGCTGTCCAGTTTAAAAACTATGTTATAGATCTACGAATATAGAACAAATGGTCTAAAATATATAGAAGTTTCTCAAGCAACGATGCTAACATACTTTCAGCTCTCACCTCTTCCTATTAAATCTAACTCAACTGATAGGAAAGACCTGATCCTAGATGAGTACCTTCTCGATGGGATGCTTAATGAATGGGCCACAAAAGCTCATATCCTCAAAAAGCACAAGGACACAATTAGGATTATGGCATATTTGGCTCCATATTGCTTCTCATGGCACAGAGACCCAAGGCCTGGTTTGTAAAGCCAAGGCTCAGTGTAGCCTCTGCAGTGGCGGATACAGGCCTGTCATAACGAATTTGACTAGGCAGAGATCATGTGTTCATTATATCAGGGAACAAGGAGAACTTATTGAAAGTAGATAGCAGAATGAGGACCCACCCCACCCAAATACCTAGAGCACTTGTTTCTCATCTGTGACTATAATAGTCTATTTGTTATAATGGATTATAACAGCCTATAATAGCCTATTTGTTCTATAAGTAAAGAACAAAGAACATCTCAAATTCACCTTCATCTACTCTGGTTTTCTGTAGGTCTGCACAATAACCCAGAGGTTAAATGGTCAATCAGAATGTATGGCTCACTTTCTGAACATGTTTATCGCTTGGTTTGACCATAAAGTATCCAATACAGTGCTCATCAATCCTGCTCCTGAAGATCTACCTTCCTACAGACTTTAGCTCCAACCCTAGTCCACCCCACCTGATCCATCTAATTATTGCCTTTAGAAGACCTTGATTACCTGAAGGAGGTGTTTAAGATTTGGGTTGAAGGTAAAACCCGCAGGAAGGCAGATCTCCAGGAGGAGGGTTGGTGACCCCTCGTTTAATAGTATGCAAATAACATTATGGTCAGCAGTTTTCATGTTAATTGAAATTGAGTTAATTGAACTGGTATTATGAAAAGCCATAGTGAGCTACATTTACAAGTTACCGGCAGTGAAAACTATTGACTGCTAAAGGCTAATAAAGTAGTATTAAGCACGGTCTGTTACCTTATAGTTTGAAGTACTGACAGTCTCTCAGGGCAACCATCAGACCAGACAGGCATTAGACAGTAATTCCATCAGCTTGTTTTTTGCTGACTGACATGTACAGCGCACCTCATAAACAGCCTGTCTATCCTTGCTAACAGGCAGTCCTTTGCTCAAACTAACTGCAATACCATCTGGGTCTCACTAGAGGGCAGGAGAACCTGAAGAGCTACTGATGCCAGTCAGGTGGCTCTGCCTTTGGAGTTTGAAATTGCTTCGGTTACACTGGTTAAGGTCAGGGTAAATATCTACTCAGCTCCTCAGGGCAGTCACAGCGGCTAGTTTTATCGCATACAGCAACGTCCCTGTCTGAACCTAAGCACCGAAACTCTATCAGGCAAAAGTCCATGGTATCTTTAGCGCATCTGTGCTTCTCTATTTATTGAAAGAGCTGCTTTTTTCTTATAAAGATGAACTGGACTAACTGGTAAGCCTCATTCTGTCAATGTGGGCCATTTCCTTATATCATCAGGCAATAATTCTGTAGAAAAAATGAGTGGCTTGTCCTGCTGCCTGGTGCACTGCTTGCTCTAGCATTTTGAATACACATCAGTTTTTATCTACTGTACTTGTTGATGGCATTTAGAGGGACGATTGTGAGCCACATACATAGACTTCTTCAACCCTTGTGTGGTGTTGATGTGTTTGTTACTCAGTGGTCTGCTGGACTCGCCACATTATTGGTATTTTAAATCAATAGAACCGTAAGAATTTATGTAAAAATACCAGATGTTTAAAATATCACAAGTGTCCAGTGTAGCATTCTACTTTAGCAGCTGTAGCCAGTCAGCAGCCTGTCCATGTTGTCCACCCTCACACACACACACACACACACACACACACACACACACACATATAAAAACACATACACACACAGACACACACACACTCTAACAGCAGGCCATGTAGGAGGAGAACAGAGTGAAGGACACAGCACCTCCACACTTTTACTCCCCGCAGGTTCACCCAACACCACATGTGTAATATAAACGTGTGGGGGGTGAACAGAGTGAAGACACTGAAAATGGGTTATTTTATATGTTCTTCACAGAAAATGAGCAAAGGCCAAGAAATCTGGGGTTGAAATAATAATAAATCGCATCATTTTTTCTTTTGGTAAACACTGAAAATGGGTCCCACAGACCTGAACACCACACAAGGGTTAATCTATAATATCTATTTATGTGTGTTTTTTTGTTTGTTTGTTTATAGACTAATATCTCCTATTATAGCATAGAGGAGTTTACTGAGTTACATATTACATTTTCTGGGACCAGAGGATATCCCTTGAGGTTACTGTAAAAATGACATGACCACAGGGAACAACAAAGTATGCAAAAGCAGGAAGTCCTTAAAGGGGAATTTCTGCATAATTAAATTCTTAAGATCTTAACAGGCAATTCAGAGGCTTAATTTGAAATGCTCAATTCTAGAGAAACTTACAGAGTAAGAATCATTTCACAGTGGTGGTGATAGAATGTGAAGAGTTTAATGTTTCTACAAAAAGGTATTACATGAAATGGTTCCAAATGTGCTTCTTACAAGATGCTTTAAAACAGTTTTGCAAAAAAGGTTTTGGTCTAAAACATTTTTTTTTTAAATATACTCAGGTTGGAGTGGTACATCTTTGTTGTGAGACAAAACAGTAAAACAGTACCCAAAGCAAATGTGTTTTATCATTATAAACCTATAAAAACTCTGAGGGTTTAGTGGTCATTCTGGATAGCAAACAAAATGATTATATTTGCACTGTAGATATCATGACCACTGGCTCCTATTACCACCACTGTTGAGAAATTTGAGTCAGTAAACTTCTCTACAATCTACAATTTCACGTCAAAACACTCTGAATGACTTTGTTTACAGCTCAATGTAAAGAAATCAGAAATTTTGAAAAATCGGTGGAGGTCTAAAAGGTATAAACAGTCGTTACTGTGGAGACGACTAAGCGCTGCAGAAATACTGCACTGTGTGCACCTATTACAGCCATACCATAAAAACCTGCGCAGTATAATTTCAGCTCTGCAAACATCGCCTTATTGACGTTTACAAATGCATTCCATATAATCTTATATGACTGTAAAATGGATTTTATCCCCTGTACTCAATACCATCCCTGTGGCAGACACTCAGGCCCCTGTGATGTTGCCAGTGTAGAGTAACAGGCTGTAGTGTAAGTGACTGTTGCAGGGGTACCATACCTCTCTGGCAGTCAGGGCGTGCTCTCCAGCTAGCAGCAGCATGCTCAGACCACCCATCTTAGTCGGATCTACACACACATACACAAACAGAAGCAGGATGTCAAAAAACAGAAGAGAAATTAATGCATCTGAATCCTCTCGTAACGAAAACATCTGTGTGCATGGGTCATGGTGATCCTAGATCAGCATTATTAATCTGGATTATCCGAGGCTACGTTGACGTTACAAGCCTCATTGCTCAAATTCGATCTCTCTGACACGATGGTTCACACTTGTTTAGGTAAGTGACTCCTGAAATGACCCGCCTGCGCACATCCTACTCAGTAACGTCACGTTAATGAATCAGTGCATCATCAGCAAACAAACTAACAAGCAGAACGAGCTTCGCTGTGAAGATAATTAACTCTGATCAGCTCTCAGCTTTATTAATTGAATGAGACGAAGGAGAAAAAGGTGAGATGTGTTGCTTTTCCACTGTTTACAGGCTTTAACTTCTGTTCGACGCTGCTGCCAGTGAAGCTCGTTATGCTTGTTAGTTTGTTTGTTGATGATGCACTGATTCATTCACATAACGTTACTGAGTAGGATGTAGAGAGCGCCGATTTGTTCACATTAATGACAGATTTGAGTCAGTTACCTAAACGAGAGTGAAGCATCAAGTCAGAGAGATCGGATCTGAGCAAAAAATCGGATTTGAGCAATGAGGCTTGTAATGTGAACGTAGCCTGTAACCTGGTAATGTGAACGTAGCCTGACAGACACTATAAGCAAAGACCAAAAAAGCAGAATACACAGAACAAAGATGCTCAAAAAGTGTGAATAACAGGAATTTCCCCACTGTAATGCTAACGGAAACACATCAGTCTTGCAAAGTGGGAGACAGATGCAAACTGAGTTTGATACACAGGAGACTGATGCAAATTGAGAAAAAGATTACGGTGCTACCTGTAAGAAAACTGACACTGAAAACATCTGCATACTAGCAGAACCAGTATGCCAGTCACTGCCCTGCTGCTGAGGGAGTGATAAGGGATGACAGTAACTGAGCCTTTCACCAACTGACCCCCTCGTTACTGCTGTGTGCAGACATAACTAAGCCGGAGTTGCAGGTGTATTGCGTCGTACTATTACACACTCTTCAGGTGAATACTGTCATATTAGGATTCACACATGAAAGTATAAAGAAATTTGGATTTTTCAGACTTTTCAAACTCTCTCAAGTGCACTTCTTTTCACTGTCATCTACGGAGAAACACACACTGAGACTAAAAAGCACTTTTCTAGCCTTCGCAGCGCACTTCGCGGATTTAAACTACGCATTTAAGTTGAATAAAATGTCACTTTGTCCACTGAGCACCACAAAAAAGCGCTATACGTCAACATAGCTTGACCTACCAATATAGAGGATACCTTCTCTCTACTCACCGAAGAGGGAAAAGCTAGTTTTCCAGCACACAGAACAAAGATTAACATAAAAAAAATAATTGAAAACTCTTTTTCACCTTCAGTTTAAGCCGTTTCCTAATGTTTATTGCACATGGTTTGATCCCCTGTCGGTTCAGAGGATCAATCCAGCCCTGTGACCGGAAGGTCGCTGGTTCCATCCCCTGAACCGACAGTATGTGACAGAGGTGGCCTTGAGCGAGACACCTAACCCCCATCTGCTGGATAGGGCTGCCCACCGCTCCAGGCAAGTGTGCTCACTGCCCCCTAGTGTGTGTGTTCACTAGTGTGTGTGTGGTATTTCACTGCAAGGATGGGTTAAATGCTGAGGTAAAATTTCCCCGTTGTGGGACTAATAAGGGTCACTTAATTCTAATAATTAATTAATTAAATAATAACATCTTGATCTTTCCATGTACTCTCAAATCGCTTTCTTGTGTTTACCAACATGTCAATCAAATGCCCTCTTAAGAATGCCCCCTGCTTGTTTTCAGCATGAGACCCAACCTGCTTGCCATTTAAAAATGCATTATCTGAACGCCCCCTAATCCTGCATGTATTGAAACGCCAGTGCTTTTCAATAGTACCACATGGTAAACAATACTGTAACTTTTGACACTTTTGACAGTTTTTTATTTACATTAGCCATTATGTTTCCATAACGCTGAGCTGACACTGTATTCTGCCTACAGGCAAAGCAAACTGTGAGCGCTAACATGACTCACTCACAAGCACATCTAAAACACACAGCTGAAGAATTTTATTCAGTAATATATGTGACGATATGCTCCCAGAAGGACCCTGAGGCCCTTAAAGAATAATGCAGAGTTGTTTCATTCTAATCGTGGTATAATAGTGTCTGTCCAATGTAACTAGACTTAATCTAAGCTGTTAAACTCAGCTCTGCACACTTTATTAGTCCGAGTGAACAGTTAGAAACCCTATAACACCTGTTGCTACACACAGTTTTATAATTTGTTGGTTATCCTCTGTGCTGCATTACATTCCCCATCAGCAATATTTTGAATATTTCAAGTATTCATGTACTATTTTAAGGTCTACTATACACCAATCAGGCATAACATTATGACCCCCTCCTTGTTTCTACACTCATTGTCCATTTTATCAGCTCCACTTACTATATAGGTGCACTTGGTAGTTCTACAGTTACAGACTGTAGTCCATCTGTTTCTCTGCATTCTTTGTTAGCCCCCGTTTACCCTGTTCTTCAGTGGTCAGGACCCCCATGGACCCTCACAGAGCAGGTACTATTTTGGTGGTGGATCATTCTCAGCACTGCAGTAACACTGACGTGGTGGTGGTGTGTTAGTGTGTGTTGTGCTGGTACGAGTGGATCAGACACAGCAGTGCTGCTGGAGTTTTTAAACACTGTGTCCACTCACTGTCCACTCTATTAGACACTCCTACCTTCTTAGTCCACCTTGTAGAGTCAGAGTCGATAGCTCATCTGCTGTAGAGTCAGAGTCGATAACTCATCTGCTGCTGCACAGTTTGTGTTGGTCATCCTCTAGTCCTTCATCAGTGGTCACAGGACGCTGCCCACAGGACGCTGTTGGCTGGATATTTTTGGTTGGTGGACTATTCTCAGTCCAGCAGTGACACTGAGGTGCTTAAAAACTCCAGCAGCACTGCTGTGTCTGATCCACTCAGACCAGCACAACACACACTAACACACCACCACCACGTCAGTGTCACTGCAGTACTGAGAATGATCCACCACCCAAATAGTACCTGCTCTGTGAGGGTCCATGGGGGTCCTGACCACTGAAGAACAGGGTAAACGGGGGCTAACAAAGAATGCAGAGAAACAGATGGACTACAGTCTGTAACTGTAGAACTACAAAGTGCTCCTATATAGTAAGTGGAGCTGATAAAATGGACAATGAGTGTAGAAACAAGGAGGTGGTCATAATGTTATGCCTGACGGGTGTAAGCGCTCATATTTTACTGCTGAAGTTTTTGTGTATTTTAAATAAACAATGGCCAGTTTGTGTTACAGCACAACGTTCATTAAAAATGATTTTTGTTTTTCCTCCGGCCCACAGATCTGTTGAGATTTTTTAATATGGCCCTTTTAGTGGTGAGTTTAACACCCCTCCTCTACTCATTTATCAGTGGTCAGTTTCTGACCACAGACCTTGCTCTTGTCTGATTATTTTTGGGTGATGGACCACTATCAACACAGCAGTGACACTGAACTGTGGAAAATCTCCAGAAACTCCACTGCGTTTGATACCAACGCCACACCTGTGTCAGTGTCACTGCTCAGAATGGTCCACCACACAAATAAAAACTGGTCAACAGAAGTTCTGCGCTCATAAACTGCCCAATGAGGAATGGAGTAGATAGTAGCTGACAAACGGTGTATGACGAGAGAGCTACAGCCTTTAACTGTACACCTACAGCGGGATGCAAATCTTCAAATATTTTTCTGCAAATGTTTTTGTACAGTTTATATTTAACAAACTTAAAAAATAGAAAAAACAGTTATTTGCGGCACGTTTCAAAGTTTGGACGTCTTAAGAAGAATGTCACAAGAAATCCCAGCTTGCAAGTGCTTTTCTAGACAGCTAGTCTTTCTATTCTTGTCTTAGACACTTTCACCGACTTTTCCTTGCCAAACACTTCTAGTTCTGCAATATTCTTGTGGGGACTTGCATGCAAAGCATGTTTAAGCACTCTGCACCAAATTTCAGTGATGTTCTAGGTAGGGGGCTGTGAGGAGCTTTCAAAAAGCTTCAGCTTGTGTTTCTTAAAGCAGTATATGGAGGATTTTGAGGCACGTTTTGGATCCCTGTCCTGTTGTGGAAGCCCTCTTTTCAGCTTCCGTCTGTGATTGTTTTACATTTGCTTCCAGATTTTACTGATATTTAGTGGAATTCATTCTTCCATTCACCTGTGCAACGTTTTCTGTGCCACTGGCTGTCACACAACCACAAAGCACAACAAATGCACCCCCATGGTTAACAGTAGGCAAAGTGTCCTTTTCATCAAATGCTGATCCTTTTTATTTACACACACACGTTTTGCTTTGCCTTCCTGGTCAGCAAACAAACAGAACTATCTGAGCGTCTTCTTGGTCCTCCAGTCCCCCTAATTGCCATATCTTAAGCATATTTCAGACAGTGAAAGCTGAGAGCTGGAGGAGCTCTGATATCTCTTTATAGCCCTTCCTTGCTCTGTAGGCATTAATTAAATTCATTTTCAGATCGTCAGCCAACTGCTTAGAGGAGCCCATGGTTGTTGAGTGTTAGCACAAGGTTTGATGAGTGAGGAAACTTATTACGCTCTGGAACTGTCATGAGCTGACAGCTCCTAAGGACAATTCTGGACATGCTGTCCTAACAAGTCAATCAAGGCCTAACAAGTTAAATGAGCTTAAATTAGTTAAAGTTTTTTAGGTTAATCAAATATAAAGACATCTGCAGAAATAATTATATAATATAAAATATATTATATCACTGCTGTCAGATCAAAACCTCGTATCTCCAACATGGGAACTTTTCAGGAGAAGGAAAAAACCTACTCTATTTTTAATGTAAGTCAATGGAACCAGACTTCATAATATAAAATAATATTATATTTTTAAAAAAATGGTTTGTTGAACAGGTTGTGTTTACTTGTTTTCATGTCAAAAAGCAATAAAAATCTGTGATTTTGCCAGGGGTGCCCAAATCTTTCCATACAAGTCTATATAATGGACCAACAGTGGGTCTCATTCACCAATATCTTCCTGTTTTTCCTTAATTCGTTCTTGAGAAAGGTTCTAAAAAAAGGTCTGCGTCAGATTCATAACGTGTTCTTAAACCACAGAACTGTTCACACCTTTGTGCTCTTGAGTGTGTAGATTCTATTCCTATCTAAGAACAAACCCCAAGTAAGAAAACACTGGTGAATGTCAGAACCTTTGTAAAAACTGTGTAAGTGCGTTTTAAGAAGAAATGTCTTCTTAGGAACGGTTGGTGAATGAGGCCCAGTGACTCTAAGTACAAGGTAGACGTTCCTCATAAACACTTCTCGTTTGCTTTAAGTGTGTCTTATGATACCCACCTGCCATGGCAAAATTAAGCTGTGGTGTGCTGTCAGCTTTGGGCACTTTTTTGGCAACAGCAGCATCCTTGGTGGGGTTGGAGGAGAGAGACCAGGCCTTTTTTCGAACGTTACTCACAGCGTGAGTGGGACTCTTCACTGGTTTACTGGTGGCAGGGCACCACTTATAGCCCGGGTTCGCCTTCATGAAGGCATCTTTATACTATAGAGAGCAGAGAAACACAAAGCACAGTCAGGAATATGAACACTCACAACAGTTATTTACAACATAACAACAATGGATTTCATCAGAAGAATTACTGTGACACTGCAGTGACAGAAAACTGCACCAAAAACATGCTGGAACATTTATAAGACTTTTTCATTGACACAATTCTCCTCTTATTCCAAAGGTAGCCAATCCACCAGGACATGTCTGGTGTCTGCATTTTGCTTCTTTAGTTTTGCATTAAAGCTGCAAGGCTAATGTAGTTAAAAAGTAATTGAAGCTGATACCCGTTAATTAGCTGTGCACAAAGTGCATGTCTTAATCACATCTGCAGGTTTCCAACATTGCACAATGCCCTTTTTTTAGCTATACAAAGTAGTCCTGTCTAACGCTCATATTCACAGAGCAAATCTAAAGAAACCCCTTGGCCAAACAACTACATTTGGGTTACATAGAAAACTGTGAACATTTGATTCTTCACTTAACAGTCACTAAAACTTAGCATTCAGCATTTACTATAAATTATTCTGTAACTAATTCAAAACTAGTATGCAAGCTGTTTGATGCAGGAGCAATCAAATAAAGTGTGGGCCCACATGCAGGCCTCTGCAGTGTGAAGGGTTAACTCGTATAAGTCAGGCAACTATAGCTAAATATCCTGAGACACGTAACGCAGGTGCTGGTGAACGGCAGTCATTTGAAAAGCCTCACTCCATAAAACAATAAAGAGAGGCACACTGACTACATTAAGGAGGTCATGTGACAATTAGCTAATTAAACTTGCGTTTTTCCCAGGGCAATGAGTTAAAGTAGGTGAAACCCGCATTAGGCAAGGTGCAGAGCCTAAAATTTATCAGCCCAGGTGTAACATTCATAGAAATTCATAGAAAGATTTTTTTCTTTTCCGAAGAATCTGAGCCTCCTAGAGCTGCTCCTTGACCCGGTTAGACTTGTCAGATATTTGGCACAAAGTATAACAACAAAGATGCAAGTAACATGTAGAGACACAAGATATAGGTAGGACAATTCTGAGCTTGCACTGTTAAGTAGACTCTGGCAGCTGGATTTGATTCAGCAGAGAAAATTCTAATGAGATAATTTAGCCTCAAACTAAAGTGACAATGCACCCAACAGTTTCTTGACTTCTGAGAGACAGCTTTTATCTGAACATACTGACCATACACATACTGACCATAACAGACCAGTCTGATTTGGGACTAACCACATCAGCAAAACCTCGTAAAGAGACACTCCAGCTAAAATGATAAATGTAACAACCACATTGTATCCTACAGTGGTGACCCAGTAGTCTCTAGGGGTAGATCCCATGCATCAAACACAATCCTGTTTGGGCCGCGATATTATTTAAATTTTCTATAATTATGAGCCCGTTTCAACCTGAGCTGCACTACAGTCCCCAGCATGCACTGCAACATAGTGCAAGTTCCAACCCACTTCCCCCAACAACAATCAGTAGTTGCACAAAAAGAAAAGATGCCTGGTGTTGTTGTTCAGGCAAATAGGCAGTTTTAAAAAACCTACCTAAAACAATCTAAACAATTAAAACAATTAAATTTATGTAGAATTATTTTTGACTATGTATTCAATGCCCATTGTGCTGTTGTAGTTTTGGCGTATTTTGGATAAACAATGGCCTGTACGGCTCATGGCAAAATGTTAAGGAAAAACGAAATAAACACTCAGCTGGCCCTCAGATTTGTTGAGATTTTTTAATATGGCCCATTTAGTGGTTGAGTTTGACACCCCTGGGGTAGATGGTCCAGTTTAAAGACTAGAGAAAACCCTTCTGATGAAGGTAAGAAGAATTTATGCAAAACTACAACTGCTTTGGAGTGGACTTTGGGGCTGGACAGTTTGATTGTTTTTTGTAATTTATTTTATTTTTGGCAAGTGCAAAAATAGCTAGCGTTACTGTTAGGAAACTTAATATTTTTTTGCAGCCTTATAACTGTGGCAAACAACAGAAGAGGAGGACCACAAGTAAAAAGTTATCTATCTAGATACCTGGCTCACATTTTCTGGCTGAAAGGGTAAAAAACATGTCTCTGGCATCCATTATGTGCTGAATAAAGACAGAATAACTGTTTTCTTTTTGGCTACGTTCACATTACAAGACTCATTGCTCAAATCTGATTTTTTTGCTCAAATCCGATCTATCTGACTTGATGGTTCACACTCGTTTAGGTAAGTGATTCAAATCGGTCATTAATGTGACGAACCGGCGTCCTGAAATGACCCTCATGCGCACATCCTACTCAGTAACGCCACGTGAATCACGTTCATCATCAGCACAAACTAATGAGCAGAACGAGCTTCGCTGAGAAGATAATCAACTCTGATCAGCTCTCAGCTTCATTATTAGCGCGAGACGAAGGAGAAAAAGGTGAGATGAGTTGCTTGTCCACCGTTTACAGGCTTTAACTTCTGTTAGGCGTTGCTGCCATGGTAACGCTGAATGATGTGGAGAAAAGCACATGAATTCCAATCTGAGCATCACATTAAGGTCACATGACCACAAATCAGACACGTACCCGATCTAGGACCACATATGAAAGTGGCTCAGGTCGAATACGAAAAGATCAGATTTGCGTGTCCACACAGCCCTGAGAACATCAGATCTGAGTCACATTAGGGCAAAAAATCAGATTTGTGCCACTTCAACCTGGTAATGTAAACATAGCCTTTGATTCTGAAGACCAAGGTAAGAGTTACACAAATACTAGCTTGTTTGTAATCATTAGCCATCAGGCTAGCAGTAATGACTGGTTGACACCATAGTGATTCCCAAAGGTAGTGTAGTGAGAAGAACACTGATGAGCAAAAGCATGAAAACAATAAAATCATGACTTCTGTCAAATCGCCGAGGCAGAATACAGCACAACATGACAAACAACATACTAAACGCTAGTGTTATGCCAGAATGTCCCTTTAAATCTAGGAACAAACTATCAGTGACCTCTGGGTTCCAGGAGCATGACATACTGCAGGTACGCAACCAGCCTCACCTCCTTGGCCATGTCTGTGTACTTCTGCTTCTCGCTGGGCTCCAGCACAGCCCACCAATCAGCCAGGATCTTGGTGGCTCCACGGTTGTCCAGCCGCGGATGTTCCTGGCGAACTAGTGAGCGATGCCGTTTACAGAAGAGCAGGAAGGCATTCATGGGCCGACGTGCTCTCTGCTCGGAGGAGTCTTCCTCACCTTCATCCTCCATCGCCCCACATTCAGGCTCCTGACTACCGCGCTCTGCACACACCACCGGCTCCTGGAAAAAACAAAGACACGTAAGCACACACCCCATCTGGTCATCTGTGCTCAAAGACCAGAATATTCAGCTCCAGATTCAGCACAGAATGACCGTGGGCAAGAGTGGTCACAAGAGGAGGGGTTGTCTGTGACTGTGGGATCAAGATTTAATACACTATATCAGTAAGTTGGATTTGAAACCAATACTTTTATTGATTATACAGGGAGATTCACTCGAAATAGGCCCCGAATATTCTGTAATAACTCTTACTAGGACGAAGCAATCTGAATGAAACAACGTGTAATGTGCTCCTCAGTATATGGAGCTTCGAACAAGGTTCGAAGGTTGAGGTAGGCGCCAGACAACCATTGCGACGTTTAACCTCTTTAATGCTTGCCAATACGTTCAGTATTGAGCATCATGGAGCACCACGTCGAAATGTGTCTGGCAGAAAACGGAGATCACTTCCAGCGTCGCATATAATGCTATTGATCACACATACGTCAAGGTATGTAGCATATTTTTTTGGTTCAGATTGCTTCATACTCATGGGAGTTATAACAGAATATTTGGGGCCTCTTTCGAGTGAATCTCCCTGTATAATTACACACTAAAAAGGTTGCCTTATATGTAAGGCATGTGTATTAAAATAAAATCCTGGAATTGGAGGAAATCACTTTAATTTGTTAAGTAAAATTTGACACCGATTGTAAGTTTAACAACAACAAGCAATTCAAAAATCTTATTTTCCATTTATCCCAAATGTCGTCGATCAGCCGAGACATGTTTGGTGTCCAAATTTTAAGCCTGTCGTGTTTCGCTAGAGATACAAGGCTAATGTTGCTAACAAACAACAGATGTCAGTAGTCACCCAAATCTATTCCTTAAACACATCCCCTAAACCTCTCTCACCGTATGACTTACTGTGAACTATAAAAATAAACAACACTGCACCGGATAGCAGAACACTGGAGGCAGCGACTGCAGACAACAGAGGTTGTGCTAAAATCCACCCCCCCGTTGGAATCAGACTCATCATATACAAGCACATCGTACTGACACTTGGATGCAAGACTATATCCAAGATTCTGTTGTTACTATTTTGAACATATATCTTTGGTTTGAGAATTCAAGATGTAATAACTACTTATAAAAAGAAATAACAGAAAAAGCAGACATAATCTGTAGCGTCCAAACGCCGGCGTGATGTCATGCACACAAGGAGGAGTCGGAATTCAGCACAACACCTGCTGTCTGAAGTGGCTGTCTGCTGTGTTTACACATTGAAGTTCTGCTCACTTTTATAGTTCACACTACATCATTTGGTCCTCGAAACCCCCCTTAAGGCCCACCTATTTATTACTAGAAGCACTAAAGCCAACAGGGAAATAAAACTCTAAAAATTATTTGCTTAAAAAAGTGTTGGCTCGATCATCAGGAGATCGCGAGTTGGATCCCTGGTGATGCTGCAGCTGTCCGTTTCCGGGCATCCAAGACAGCACAATTGGCCTCGTTCTCTGGGTGGGTGGGATGGCCCCCCGTCTCCCCTCATCACTCAGCGCGATGCTAGTCAGCGCAAGCATCTGTTAGCTGACAGAACTGATCTGGCTGTTGGCGCTTTCCTCCGAGCGCGTTCGGCTGACGTTACGTGAGCGGCAGTTCGAAAACATGTGGTGGCGCTTCAAAGGTCTCGGAGGAAGTCTGTGTTAGCCTTCGCCCTCCTAGCGCTGGTGATATTGTGTGATTGGGAAGTCCTAACTAGTGGGTGGAACTGGACATGACTAAAGTGTTCTAACTGTGCTGTTATTTCACCATAACATCACAGGGTTTTCCAAACATTGAATGAGCTTGAGACGCTCAAGCCGTTTTAACGTTTTTACTTTGCCACAAACAGAAAATGGACACTAAGATTGCATTTGACCGACAGCCGATTTGGTCAGACTCTGAAGATGAGACTACACTAAATTCCCAAACTGTCAGTCGGTCTGTGTGGAGCTGGAGAACGAACTGCCGGCTGTACAGCGAGTGGGCGGAGCTCGTACTCTGACGTAGCAACAAGCTCCTCATTAAGGAACTATAATTTGGTGAAGGAACTGCGAACATTAAAACATATTAAACGCCGCGTTCACGGCCCAGTTTATTAATTTATTACTTTATTTATTTAACTGTTGTATTAAAGCAATAGAACACTCGAGGAGTGTGTTACCGCCAATAACATCACGGCTGTGATGATCTACGGCGACCAAATCACAGCTGTGATGTTATTTCCCTCTCGTGTTCTATCGCTTAAGTGAACTTAAAATATTTACACAGCAGTGGCAAATAAAGTATGTTATGTTTCTACAACATATTTTATTTGGTGTAGCAGTGTCACAATCAGACAACTGAAACGTCGGGAGAGTTTTTGTTTCTATAGGCAAGGGGCAAAAAAATGGACAAAGCTGCCTTTGTGCACCATTTGGATTAATGTTGTTTCTCGTACGAAAACATTGTACATTTGTTTTTTATTGTAAAGCCAAACACTGATTTTTGTCTATCGCTGGCCCACTACAGGCCACTTGCCTCCCCTCCATATTGGGCCAAGGAACACCAAAGGGTGCCCACTTCTCGTCTGTGGAGCAGTCGTTGAGAAACCCTGCTCCAAACCACATCAACAAGTCTGCACGACATTTTGAGCAGCAAGTTTGTGCAACAGGTTGTGCAAGTCGACAGAGGTTTTGGGGATGTATTTATGAAAAAGATATGGTGATCATTGACTTCTAGTGTGTGTTAGTAATGTTAGCCTTGTGGCTCCAATGGCAAACAAAAAAGAAATTTGGACCCCAAACATGTCTTGGCTGATCAACCTCACCTGGGCAGTGAAAGAAAGAATGTGTAACCGGTCTTCAGCATGCATGAGCATGTCATTACTGTTAATACAATCTAAACCTCTCTTTCTTGAATGCATGGCCATCTCCATCATTACTACAGCTTTGTTGGTGCTGTTTGTAACAGCGCACGGACCTGCTTGTTAAAAGGCCGACTGAGGAGCGACTTAAAGGCTGCACAGAAACAATTCGGTGCTCTGCATACTTTGTTAGCCCCCGTTTACCCTGTTCTTCAGTGGCCAGGACCCCCATGGACCCTCACAGAGCAGGTACTATTTGGGAGATGGATCATTCTCAGCACTGCAGTAACACTGACGTGGTGGTGGTGTGTTAGCGTGTGTTGTGCTGGTACGAGTGGATCAGACACAGCAGTGCTGCTGGAGTTTTTAAACACTGTGTCCACTCACTGTCCACTCTATTAGACACTCCTACCTTGTCAGCCCACCTTGTAGATGTAAAGTCAGAGACGATAGCTCATCTGCTGCTGCACAGTTTGTGTTGGTCATCCTCTAGTCCTTCATCAGTGGTCACAGGACGCTGCCCACAGGACGCTGTTGGCTGGATATTTTTGGTTGGTGGACTATTCTCAGTCCAGCAGTGACACTAAGGTGTTTAAAAACTCCAGCAGAGCTGCTGTGTCTGATCCACTCAGACCAGCACAACACACACTAACACACCACCACCACGTCAGTGTTACTGCAGTGCTGAGAATGATCCACCACCCAAATACTACCTGCTCTGTGAGGGTCCATGGGGGTCCTGACTACTGAAGAACAGGGTAAAAGGGGGCTAACAAAGTATGCAGAGAAACAGATGGACTACAGTCTGTAACTGTAGAACTACAAAGTGCACCTATATAGTAAGTGGAGCTGATAAAATGGACAATGAGCGTAGAAACAAGGAGGGGGTCAGAATGTTATGCCTGATCGGAGTAGAATGTAACTAAAATGGACGGTCATATGTAAAGGTTTGGGCTCCCAAATTACATGTTTTGTTTTCTAAGTGAACACATCCTCAACAGAGAACACACTTCTGCACATTTTAATGCACAGTTAGTGTTCATTTGCTAAATTTAACATACTGAAAAAAATTAAACATAAAATGTGGAAAAATTACAGCTCATATTTCCCCAATATGTTAAACTCATCAAGTAAATTGAAAGTACATAGTAAAAGCTGCAGAGAAATGCCACATTTTAGTTTGTTCCCTGTAGAGGATGTGTTAAAGCTACGATATCGCTGTTGGCGGAAGAAAACCTCGTCCCTCCATTTTTGTTTTTTTGTTTCGTTTTTCAGTTTTTGACATAATTTGAACATAAATGTTGTCCTGTACATTGTGTGTAAATTTCATGATGAATGAACCAAAAGAAACGACCCAAAATGACTTGGAAAAACGTCTGGTTCCATTGACTTACACTAAAAGTAAAGTAGGTTTTTTTCCTTCTCCTGTAAAGTTACCATTTTGGAGATACGAGGTTTTCTTCCGACAACAGCGATATGTAAAATTTGGGGATCTGAAGTCTTCTCAGGTAGAAATGTGCAGTTGCAGACAACATATGGAGAAACATTTTGTAACATCAGTTGTGCCTCGAACCCCTGAGTGGATGAATCTGCTGATTGCAAGTGCATTGAAAAAGTATTCAAAGACAGCTCAGTCAAAACTTGGTGAAGGACGGGTCGTCTGAGGATGTGAGTGAATTATCTACTATTGTCATCATATCGTCATCAGTATAATGTTGATCTTGCATACGAGACCTAAATATCGAGCCAGACCTCCTTCCTGAGCCGGTGCGTGTGACGTTAAGACACAAAGACGTTTGACATGGTCCGAAAACGTCCTACAAACTCCGACCCAGTTCCTCTGACTTTTTGAAATGACTATTTCAGGCTTTACTGAGGTCTTTTTACAGACTTTACGACACACAGACACCAAAGTTAAGCATGTTTTTTTTCCTGACTCAGTGATGCTACTTCCTCTATTACAGCTTTAATTTATTTTCATTGATAAAAATCCCCAGAACACCAGGGTGTTCAAACTTCTGCATTCGACTGAAAGTGACAGCAGTGATAGCTTCAAAAAAATGATGTAATGTGAACTGAATGTACAGCGAAATAACAATAACAACTCTCCCAATAGTTAAACTCATTGCGATCTTCTTCCTGCAGCTCACCAAATAAATAATTAATAAACAGACAATAAATAATAAATAATAATGAATTTAAAAACCATTTACCTTCTCCAGGTCTTCTTCATCCTCCTCCTCCTCTTCCTCAGAGAAGTCCAGAGCCTTCTTCTTTGACAGCAGCGGGTGCCACTGCAGGCACTTACGTTTGGGCCGTTGTTTCCCGCTCACCTCGCCCTCTACTGGAGGCTCCTTCCCCCCTCCTCCGCCCTTCATGATGCTGATGACCCTAGCACGGACAAAGGTCAGAGGTCAAGCTCAGGCTCCGATGCACTCCAACCACGCTTTTAAAAGAGGATACAAAAGGGCGAGGAAGGCATGACACACTTGTAATTACTTTGGCTGAACAGAACATTACTTTTCTTTTTTTGGTGGTGCGAGCCGACGCTCTGCTGCGCACACAGGCTGTGATTTGAATTTCAGATGTAATCAGTGCAGAAATCTAAGAAAAAACTTTCACATCTACGCAGTCACTTTCTCAAAAGGGTCCAACCGCAGCATGATATCCTCCGTTAGGGTGTAGGACTGTGTGACGGGCCTGTGCCACTACAGGTGGAGATGTAGTGGGTGGGGCTGAAGGCCTCATTAAGAACACTACTTATACCTGTGTGGTGGCGGGCATGTTTTACAAACACTAAGGCCCAATCCCACTTCTTATTTTTGCCCCTACCCCTTGTTTTCGAGTGTCTCCTTGCCCCTCAGAGCTGAGTTACAAAGGGTAGTGGGTGAAATCTTCCCTACAAAATGGGACCCTCAAATAAAAAGAGCATTACTTCATTAACAGCTACTAGCGCTGCTCTGTAGGCGACCCCGCCAGTCTGCAGTGATAGCAGAGGAGGGTAAAGTTCAGCTCCTCACTGCTGGGCTTTAGTTACATTTAGGGCATCATATGCCTTCAAAGAGGGGGGATGCAAAAATTATTCATTATTGCCCACCCATAATTCTGCAGTGATATGAAGCCGAAGTCAGATATTCTCCAGTTTCTTCTTCAAATTTTCCCGTTCCACCTTAAATGGAGCAGCAGTTACAGTCTGGTGCTTCAGGTATCAGAACTGCTGGACTATTTAAGGTGGAACGGGAAAGTTAGCTAGCTGGCTACTGAGACATTAGCATGCTATTAGCAATTTTTTATGCTTGTTATGAAGAAAATGACCATAATACATCGAAACAACATCAAACTAAGATAATACAGTGATTATCGTAATTTTTTTACAGAGAAAATTCTCACATTTCTTGGTTTCATTGGTCTCTTGTTCAGCCATCTTGCCGGTTTTTAAATTTTTTTCTCATAACACTCTGTTTGTAGAGTGTCTCTGAAAAACCTCTGTTAGGAGGGCCATGTAGCCCTAACACTTCGCCCAAAGCAGTCAACTATTGGTAAATGCAAGAATTTATCATTCAAGTAAAAAACTCTGGGTCCAAGACAAGAGAACACAGATTTTTCAATGGTAATTTTCTCCAATGTGCTGTTTTTGCCTGAACTGTGTCTTATTTATTAATATGCTGCTTGATTTCTATGCCTGTGACTTGTGTGTACACCTGAACATCGTTTGGTAGTGCCCTGTCTCCTCTATCCTCACTTTCTCTTATTGTGAAAAGCAAAAAAAAAATGATTACAAAAAATAAAAAAGGAGATCATCAGTTAAAATTGACCTTCTCAACGAATCAGAAATCAATTAGTTAGAAATCTGAATGATAATGTATACTTTACATTCTACTATTGGTCTCTCTTACAGTAAGAAAGAAGGCCTGATCGCTTCAGTGTATATGTATTTTTGCCACACTTTGTATGTTAATAATAATAATAATAATAAATGCTTTTTTCAAAGGTTTTAAAAGTCAAAAAAAAAGTTTATCTTCTTCTGAAACCTCTGAAAAGCTATGCATGGTTTTTTGTTGTTCAGTTTATTCCACCATTTGGTCTTTTTTTTGGAAACTCTGATCCCTCCTTTAATCCTTAAACTGCCTACTTTATATATTTTTTCTATTTTACTTTTCCCTGAAGTCCTCTTAGATACGTGTTCTGTTGGTTTATGTGCCTACACTCCTAATTAACCATTCTACATTCTCTCTTCATCCCTTACAATTAACAAGCTGTTTTATGAGCCTTTACGGCTGATGTATGTTAATGAGCTGTGTCCTGACTGGCTGCCTTGTACCGTGCCTTGTTCAAAGAGAAGCCCAACACCCAAAACTCCTTGTAACGTCAGTGTAAACGGGTGGGGCTACATTTTTGCAGGCTGACCGGGTGGATATGTTAAAACCCAAATCATTTCATTATTTGTTCATTTTAGTTTTTTGTTTTCTTAGCCACATTTTCAGAAATGGACCGCATGGACTGGACGCCACTTTTATAAACTTTCTGAACTTAATTCTTGCACAATATGGGCCCTTTAAAATACTCAGTCGGTTACACAGAAGTACAGGACTAGCCTAGAAAACAGTGGCTGGCCTGAGTGAACATCAGCTTTATAAAAGCCTCCTGAGAGAGACAGACAGGCGGAGAGAGACAGACATAGAGAGAGAGAGAGATGCAGCACAGAGATGTGCAGAGGAGTGTTAGCTGAGGGAGCGGAGACTCAGGACTCCTTGCTCATTTCGGCAGCGTCTCTGCATCTGCAACCGCACTGCTGCTCTGCTGTACATGTGACCTTCACATACAGACTCACAGGACTACATACACAAGCCAAGCCTCCGCTACACGACTGCAGTGCTGCGCTTAGCACAACTGCTGCTAAGCAGTCTGTAGACATCTATGACCAGCAGACATTTCATTGCCTTCTAGCAGGCATCCCTCCATTAGTATCTGCTGCCCTCTTGCTGTTAAAAGAGTCACACCAGTAACAGGAACACTGTTAATGAAGTCCTGCTCTGTGGCCTGCAACCTTCTGCCAAGAGTTCAAATGTGCAAGCAGACCTCTGGAGGAAGAGCAGTAGAACGGTAGTTTGGTTTTTTCCCATGTCATTACAGTTCAGACAGTATCAGAGAATTAATTACTGCCTGCTCCTGTATCAAGCCAATCTCTGCTTAAAGTGCTCGACAGTCAACTAAACACACCAAATCCTTCAAACTGCAGCATGTTACTACATTAAAGACATACTTTTAAAGCGCTGACCACTAATACTGCAAAATGCAATACTATTTTCAGCCAATTTTATTCCATTTCTATCTAAACTCCAATACAATACTGTCCAAATCAGCCCTGAAGCTGCAATTTTTTCTCATCTGTCATTATAGTTCAGTGTCAGATAATTAATTACTGCCTGCTCATGTATCAAGCCAATCTTTGCTTAAAGTGCTCTACAGTCAACTAAACACCAAATCCTTCAAACTGCAGCACATTACTACATTATAAACATACTTTTAAGCCATAAATACAGCAAAATGTAATACGATTTTTAGCCAATTACATTCTATTTCCATATGTCCATCTAAAATCCAATACTATACTGCAGAGGTATTTAATTAAAGTTCAATAAGCTCCAGTTAGAGAAACTTTCCTCAAGCGAAGGTCCGGAACATCATAATGTCTAACTTACATCATGATTCAGTGCCATGTACTGTAAACTGAAGTAGCCTAGTAGGTATATCAACATCTTATACAGTCAGCAACTGAATATCAAAGCAAATAAAGCACAGTTCAGATATATTTCAACAATATTTGTCAGTTTTCTCTTTTTTTGAGCGCACCATGTGAAATAACTTCCCTCTGACTCACTTTCTTCTCCGACTGCTGTTTCTCGCCCCGTCCCTCCCCTGTGTGTGCGTCACTCACTCGAGTCTCAGTGCTCATCGTAATGCACAGAGCTGACTGGCTGAGTAGTGTCACATGTGATATTTACAACGCATGCGATTGGTCTGTGAGTCTCCCGAGCCGCTAAATTGGTACCATAAAGGCTAGAAAAGTTACGCCGATTAAAATAGGACCACCCCATCGAAATTAAATAATTCTCCATAGTTTATCGGTTATAGGTCAGCGTCAGCGTCCGGACTCGGACCGCAGTCCACCTATTGGTGACCTCTGCTATGCTGCCTTTTCCTGGTTTTTCTAATTCTCCACCACCCAACTAAACTATCAACTACATTTGAGTAAAATGTCACTCATATATTACTCTGTACAGCGTCACATGTGACCTGGAAATCATTCATATGCTTCATATTATACTCCCTTCTGGTAGACCTTCAGTATCTGCTGATAACCAGAGGTTAAACGCACCAACTTCGTTTAAAAGGGAATTCCAGTGATCAAAACCTCTGAATAATCCAGTCACTGAGACGTAAACACAGTCATTCATAGTGTTTAAGTGTAACTGTAACCATGTAAACTTCCTGGATTTTGAACTTCTTTACACTGTTAGAAATAAAGGTTCTGTGCAGGTGCATTTTTCGTTCATCAAGGTACAAACAAAGTAAATGTTCCCTCAAAGGTACAACAGTGGATTTAAGGTCTGATTGTGCACCTTAAATAAGTTTTACCAGGTGAAAAGTTTGTATTTGTACCTTTTCATAACCGAATGTTTTAAAACAACAACAAAATAAAAGCCTGGAGACGAGACGGGGGGTGTGGAGTCAGTACAACTTAGAAAATATCATTTCAGTGGATTATGGTTCAGTTATGTTCCCTGACTAAAGGTACTGAGATGTACCCTTGAGGGAACCACCCCAGGGACAAGAGGCGTACTGCCCCAGTGACAGTTTAGTACCTTTCTTTCTGAGAGTGTATAATGAACCGATGTCTGCAACACAAATACAGTCATTTCCTATTTCCTATCCAGAACAACCAGTGAACCTGTATGTGTCTGAGTTATTATATGCAATGTTGATGATGGCAGAATAGTGAAAAATCTGGAAAAAAAAAAAAGTTTTTTAGTACTATTGTGCCTTACAACACCTCTCTGCCTTGAATGGGTTTAAAAAATATAAATTTAAGGCCAAAATCTCATCTGAAAACTATCACCAAACAATGTCTCAGGCATCAGGCGGCACATTCATAACCATTTCATGTAATAACTCTGAGCGATGTAGCTTTTAGAGGCATTAAATTCTTCAGATGTCTCGTTCCCATCAGCACCGCTGTGAACAAATCCGACTCTGCAAATTTGTCCAGAACACAGAACTGTGCATCTTGTACATCTTAAACATTTAACTGTGCCGAAATCTGAAAATGAGGTGGAATTCCCTTTTAATGACAGTTCATTAAAAATACCATCATTCATATGATAGTCTTT